AAATAATGATGTGTCGCGGCATCAAAAGCATAGGGAGGCCTTCATCCAACAGCAGATTGACCATAGCCGATGATGAAAATGTAACAATGCAGTGCCGTGTTTATGGGAGCGGCGGCGACCCGGCCAACGTTCGTGGCGAGTGATATCTGAACCGCGCCCATTTGTGGTGAAGTATGGTCAAAACCCCCATTTTGGGTGAAGCTTTAATCCAGCAGTGGATCCACGAAGGGCCATACATTATCTACTCGGTGATGACACTCCTGTAAATGGCTCCTAAAACTCAGTCCTATAATTGCTTGCCCCGCCACTGCTGGCATGAAGGCAGCCACTACAAGTCAGCTCGAGATCGGCGGTTCTTCTTCTTAATCTGGGGTGCATCACGCACCCCCTGGGGATGCAAGATGTCCTTACTGGGGGGTCGCGAGACATGGCCAGATTTGTTTTAGAAGGTAAATCATCGAAACAAAAATTAAGCACGTAAGTACAACTTTCATAATGCAGGTTTTTTTTGGGTTAGATCGCGTAAATATATAAATGTGTCATTAAACCCGCCACGACCCGACACAGCTAATTAGTAAGGGTTTGTCACGTAAACAGAACATGGCAATTTAACATTTATATATTTATGCAATCTAACCCACGTATTAAACAACTTAGTTTCATCAAAACCTGATGTATTTATTAACATTTTAATTTTTTTAACGATTGAGAATCAAAAGAGGTGCACGGCTTCATTATAGGTAAAGAAACACCGCTCTGGATTGTAATCTTACTCTCGTGTCCTGACGTGACGTGTTCGAAGAAGAGATGGGAGTACCCACACTTTACCCCACTGCACGCAGTAACCTCCCAGTCATAAGACTCGGTGTGGTGGAACCCATTTGTACCGCTGGGGTGGGCAGAGGCGCCGGTGGCGGAGTTGGTGGAGGGGAGGGATTCAAGAAACTATTGTTTAAACTGCCGCTCCGGGAGATGGAGTCGAACTGGCGCAAAGTGCAGCGCGCTGACCCTCACCATCACACCCACCACAGTGGCAGCTCCCCCAATTATTCAACGACTGATTGAAGTTATATTTGCTGTATTGACGTGTGAAGGGTTGGCAATGTGATAATTAAGAACATTGATCTCTGCAGAACACGCACACATACATTTCAATTATTGGGGCTTTAATAAATAATTTGCCGGTTTGGTGTCAACACGCCGGTATTTTTGGAAACGCCTAAAATTTGTTTTGAAGATTGGTTATCGGTTCGTTTTGCGAGTGCCCAGGAGGGCTCCTTGCAGAGGTTTAGCGGTTCGGTTCAGGCAGGCCACCCCAGTAACACTTCACGCTGTCTGCTTCACTGGCACGAGGTCAAAAGATCCCCGCAACGTCGTTCAAAACGAGTCCTCCATTGAGCACCGGCCGGCATCACGGCCCAAACTTGGAGAATGACTCCGCGAACGTACCCAATGGGGGATTACAGGGACAGCAGCGACATCGCACCCCACTAAGCGACAGCCGACTGTGGTGGCTGTGCCACATGGCTGCCTGTAATCCGGCGCCATGGAGGCAGCAGCGGGGGTTGGTGAATCACTGCACACATGGGCTGTGAAACTCCCCGTCGGTGTCGAGGTGTCCGTATACCCTGGCTTACCAGAAGGCGCCACAGCAAGTGTGGACTAATCTCCATCTGTTTTCATCTGTATGGGGATTCAAACGTTATCTCCCCACTCTCACACGCATGAGTTGTCTCAGGGTAGCCTCGGTTCCCTCCCACGTGAATGTTTAAATTATTTCGCACTGTACGTAGCCAGTCGTGCTAATCAGTGGAGCGGGGGGGGGTAGGACAACAAACTAAACACAAGTAGTTCTAAAGAAATTCGTTCTCAATGTTGTAGAGTGATGTAGTGTATAGACGTGTAGTATATAGTGGTGTAGTGTATCGTAGTGTAGTGTTGTAATGTATAGTGTAGTGTACAGTAGTTTAATGTATAGTTTAGTATATAGTAATGTAGAGATTCAAAGGTAATACCAAACGCAGTTAAAATAACACATCACATAAAGTCTTCTAAAGCTAACCAAATACTACACAAAGCTAGCGAATTATTATTAATAGAGAGAATACAGCACAATAGGAGTGAATTATCTTACATTTCGGAATCGCTAAAGCAGTTACACTTAGATATAAGCAATAGTGTATCTATGCATTATTGGAATATAATCGATAACATAACACAACAATCGGCTGATAATGTGTTTAAACTAACAAAAACTAACCAAATTAATAAATTTTCTAGACTACAAAATAAACAAATCCCTACTGAAAACCAAAAATGTAAAAACAAAACTGTACTGAACTTGACCAACACTGTATTAACCGGTGACATGGTCTCTATCCTTTCTAAAGGCCTTAACTTTGCCGTTACCCCAAGCACAATTCCAGTGGATGAGATAATTGCTGAGGTAGAATCAGCAGTTAGACTCCTTCCACATAATGAGGCAGAGATGACTAGACATGAGGTTGCTAAAATAATTGAGAATAGCAAAGTTCCAAAAGTAAATATTAGCTCTAACGAGGCAAAAGCCTTAAGAGAGCTGCGTGTAAATAAGGATATCCAAATCCTAGCAGCTGATAAAGGCCGCACTACTGTAGTGATGTCACGAGCCGATTATGATAATAAAATTAGAAATTTACTAGAGGAAAGTACCTACATTAAAATTAAACGAGATCCAACTAATACTTTAGAACGTAAGACCACTGCAATAATTGCAAATTCATTAATCCCTAAAAATGAGCAATACCTAATTAAGCCAAGGGCCTCAAAACCACCTAGACTCTATGGGCTACCAAAGATTCATAAAATCGGCATCCCATTACGACCCATAGTCAGTACAATTGGCTCTGCCACATATCAATTAGCAAAATATATAACCAAACAAATACAGCCCTACATCGGTAAGACATCTTCATTCATAAAAAATTCAGAACATCTTGTGAATGTGATTAAAGATATTAAACTTACTCCTGATGATATTCTGGTAAGTTTTGATGTTATTTCTCTATTCACTAAGGTTCCAGTGGACGAATCGCTTAAATTACTTGATACACTAGTAAAGAATACCGGTTTACAAAAAGATATTCCGAAACTTGCTGGCCATTGTTTAAATAACACTTACTTCTTATGGAGAGGGGATTTCTTTAAACAAAAGGAAGGAGCAGCAATGGGTTCTCCTTTATCCCCTGCTATAGCAAATTTGTTCATGGAAAACTTTGAAATAAGAGCACTTGCCTCGAGCACATTAAAACCATCCTTTTGGTTTAGGTATGTGGATGACACTTTGGTTGTCTGGCCACATGGTAAAGATACACTTAATGATTTTCTAAATCATCTCAATGCACAAAACCCGGCCATCCAGTTCACCATGGAAATGGAGGTGAATAACACACTCCCATTCCTAGATATTTTGCTTGGACATGGCCTAAACGGTAAAATAACACACAGCGTTTACAGAAAGCAAACGCACACTGATGCCTATCTGAATGCAGAATCACATCATCATCCAGCTCAAAAATCCTCTCTTATCAAGACGCTCGTACATCGGGCGAAAACGGTGTCAGATGGTGAGAGTCTAGTGAGAGAGATTAAACACGTTAAAGACGCACTGCGACAGAATGGCTACAATAATGCTCAAATTAACAGAGCACTGAATGCCAAATCACGATCGCAAAGCAATACTACTGAAAGCGACCAGATTGTTAAAACAATAAAAATTCCATATATCTCAGGAGTAACTGACAAATTAGCCCGCGTTTTGCAAAAGCAAAACATTACAGTAAGATTTGGTACAGTACACAAAATTCAAAAACTAGTATCTTGCACTAAAGACGCATTACCTAAACTATCAACAGAAGGTGTATATCGGATTAATTGTTCATGTGGCAGCTGCTACATTGGGCAGACGGGACGTAACATCAGCGTAAGACTAAAAGAACATCAGAGAAATATTAAATTATCTCAAACACAACTGTCGGCAGTGGCAGAACATGCTTGTCAACAAGGACACTCAATTGATTTTGACAATGTTGCAGTGGTGTGTAAAACTAATTATTACTGGCAAAGACTAATTAGAGAATCCATTGAAATTGAGAGGAACAAGAATAACTTTAATCGTTCTGACAGCTACCGGCTTAGTGCGGCCTGGAAGCGTATTATTAAATAATACACATTACATTTTGATTTAAAGAATTACTAATCTACAACTCATTACTAATCATAACCAATGACTGATTACTAATCGATTATATAATTACATTACCCCCCCCCCTCCGCCTCTAATCACTGCACCTGATGAGTTAAGTGATGACGTCACCCTGCTGCTCTATATAAAACCGGGAGCAAGCGAGGGCTTTACCATTCTGGCGAATTGCCCGATGATGCTGGAAGTATTTACCAGCGAAACGTCGTACTCAAACTGTAAATGTGGATTAACTCTTCAACACACCGGTGGGCTGAAGTAGTGAATTATTTGTCTTTTGTCAACGTGACACTTTTTTTGCTGATTGGCCGTGTCGGGTGGTGGAGGGTTGCGACACATTTATAAATAAACGCGATCTAACCCAAAAACCTTTATTATGAATGTAGTGTATTGTATAGTTTAATATAGTAGTTTAGTGTATAGTAGTGTCGTGTATAGTAGGTTGTATTTTGCATTTCTTTCGCACCGTACGTAGCCAACCGTGCTAATCGGAGGTGCGGGGAAGCACACCTAAATGCAAAAATAATAACACAATGATTAGCTAAAAAACATCTTACAATGTAGCAGGGAAACTCCTGACAAAGAGTGCTTGTGTGGGCCCTCTCCTCGACACACCCCTGATTATTAGGTCAATATATATGTACGAGTCACAGCGCCGACAGGAAGTGCGTTTGCGATTTTGGTTTGGAGCTATGCTGGGTTCCGCATGGATCTCGCTTGGGGAGTGCACTACGCGAGGATGACACGGAAAAAACGCCGCTCATTGAAATCACCTTTATTGTGCATTCATGTGTTTTTATGTCACAAATACCGACTTATTTTATTAACCACAACGAAAACTGCTCTCCTCGTGCCAAGTCCCAAGACACTGAGACCCGGTCTCCTGGAGCCAATTCTCAAGACACTGAGACCCAGTCTCCTGGAGCCAAGTCTCCAAGTCCCCAAGTCTCAAGACCCTGAGACCCGGTCTCCTGCAACATTCTCAAGACACTGTGACCCGATCTCCTGGAGCCGAGCCTCAAGACACTGAAAACTGGTCTCCTGGAGCCGATTCGGATGGAAGAACTTGTGGTGGAATCTGTGCTTCTGAGTTAGCTTGGCATCGTAAAATTGTGCTGCAGTTACTTTGCATCGGTCTGAAAGAAAAAGCAAATAATTTATTTCACACACAAGACAAATTAAACGAAGCCGTACGGTCCTCTCTTACAGGGTTCATGACGTCCTTTGAGCCAGCACTGCCTATAAATTCCCGGATTCGGATCCAGGTTTCAACCACCCATGACTAAACTGGGTCATAAATCTGGGAACCCTTGAGCTCCGAAGGGCCATCGCCTTTAAATAATTACAATTGTAATTCAGGGTTTGTAACGTGCACAGATTACGTTCACTCTCAGCGAGTGATTCAGGGGCACGGGAAACCACACCCAAGTGATGGCGGACGGGACCAGCGCAAACTATTGCACAACCTCAGCGGTCCTACATCGGAAAGGTTGGCCAACATCCACGAAAATATTTTCGCTGGTTTTACGCGTGGGATTAACTGTGGACTTCGAGAGAAAACCCACACACACTAGGGTGCCGCGGGGGAGGGAGGGGGGGTTAACACTCATCATCAGCAGAGAGATGGGGATGAACCCACTTGCTGCACTACCGTCCCAATGGCAAGCTGAGAGATGGCGACCTCAGCGCCAGCGTGGTAGGGAGGGAGTTTCACGAGTGTGCGTGATCTACCGACCCTCACTGCTTCCACAGTGCCTGCGTCATCGGCCACGTGCAGGGTGGCAACGCAGCGGTAACACTCGTGCCTCACAGCAAGAAGGACCTGGATTCGATTCCTGATTCGGGCGACTTTCTGTGTGGAGTACTCCTCTTTGTTCTGCTGCATGTGCTCCGGGTTCTCCGTTTTTTTCTCTGTTCGCTAAAACATATACATACAACGTAACTTGGTATCGGCCAAACCAAGTCAATGGTGGCAACAACAAAGTACCTACAAATTACTCAATTTGGAGTACACACAGTGCAGCAGCAACATCGCCCCCTACTGCAACAACTTGGCAGGGCCCTCCCTGTACAAGAGTCTTGAGACTCGGTGAGGCTCTCTGTGGGTAAACAAGCGTAATGATATACAGTAATATCACACTCGGCTGTCCTGTCATAGCCTAGCACGCCAGTAGATGGCGACATTAACACTCTGCGAGGCCTGTACATTTGCACTCGGCCTTTCAGCTTTTATGCAAAAATAACCATCGGCAGTTCCTGAAGAACTGCATTCTGGTCCTCTGTTAGAAGCTTCTGAGTTTTCCCAACCTGCACTATTTTTGCCACATTTGTCAATAACTCCATGGCCTTAAAAGGAAGAATATTTAACAGCCAATGTGTTCCCGCAATGACCCTCTCTTCAAAGCATATGAACAGCGAGGTCAAGTGGATAATAAAGGGTTGGAGACTGCACTTCACACCATGGGGCAAGATTAAAAAAAAATTGCAATTTTATTAATGTTTTCTGATGACCAATTTTCAAAAGGGCATATGAATGGTTTACCTATTTTACCCAGCCGCTGATGAGACTGTTTCAAAGCCGGTCCAGAGTTTCCTTGTCTTCAAACAATGCTGATGAAATGATGCACTCCCAGAAGGCGGCGTGGCTGATTGTGAAATCAAGTTTTATTTTTCATGAGAAGAGACGGACGTGTGAAGGAGACATATCATGTGCCTATTTGTGTTATTAAATATTCTCCACAACGACGAGAACGATTACTTTTGGTTTGTATCGCAATATAATTTAGCGTTGAACTAAAAACCCATGACAGGAAGAGAGAGAGGTAATTGTCTGTACAATCGGCTGTTCACCAGCAAGTCTGACTCTGCTCACGAGACGCTGAGCGTCGAAACTCCTCCGGAGTTTTGCTCGTCTCGAAACAAAGCTGGTGAAATTATGCCGTGCGGGCCGATATATATTGTCAGATTTCTGCGGACACATTATTTGGTTTATTATTTTCTTATTTTGCCGCAGCTTCATAGCCCTTCGGATTCCGCCAGCCTGAATAAAGACTCCGGTTCTTTCGAGCGCAGCCCACGCGCGTTCACGGCGGCGGGGGGCTCACCTTGAGGCCGACGGCGTTGCGGCATCGCGAGCGCAGCTTCTGAACCTGTGACTCGGCCATGTCCGCGCGCTCCTCCGCCGAGCCCAGCTGCTGCTGCACCTTGCGGCACTTGGCGAGACTCGTGTTGATTTGCGCTTCCTGCACGGAAGGACGGGACGGGACCGGGGTTGTCGGCGATTTACAGGGGGCGATTTACAGGGGGCGATTTACAGGGGGTGACCAGGCCAAGCGATTGTCCGCCAAAACATAGCGACACCCTCCACCACCCCGTCACGGCCAAGTAAATAAAATGTGACTCGGAATTATATATGGGTGAAGCCGTGCAATGATCTGATCGTAAAGCGCCGCGGTTTAGTTCGGAGAGGCCGCCCATGGTTAACACAGCATGCTTATCAACCGTCGAATACTACATGCCATTTTCCTCGCACCAGACGTTAATATATCCCCCGGACGTCATTGGAAAAGCACAGCTGTCAACCCATACGGTTTATCCCGTATTCTTATACGGGGGAAATTGAGTTTTAAGGTCTATACGGGGTACAGCCGTTTAAATTCGGGCAAAAATGTCTTTGTTTATCTGTTTGTGTTTCTCCCTTGTGATGGGACTTTGTAGGATGAACGTTGAGAATTATAAGGGCACGGAGTGACCAATAATGTCTGAATTGGTCTGTAATAAGGTAGGGCACTAAGGGGTTGACAGGTATTTGAAAAAAGTTGGCCATTGTGTGCGGGCATCAGGGTCCAAATTTAACACAGTTGGCTACGTACGCTGCGAAATAAGTTCCAACGTACGTACAAGCGGAACAAAAATGAAAGCTGCCAACTACGCAATCAGGACTGCACACGGTGACATCACTCCCGAGCGCCATGCACAGCAGTGCCCTCCCCCCCGGTGGTGGCGGCAGAGCGACGGCCCCGCGCGAAATCCCCAAACGCTCTCGACGGCAATCGTCCACACCATGATCAGAACCGTGTCGCACTCACGGCCTCTTCGCTCTGCTTCTTGAACGACTTCACTTGCATCTGGAGTTTCTCGACGAGATCCTGTTGGCGGACAGCTGTCTTCCTGTCCTCCTCCGCCTGGCCCCGGCACAGCACCACACGCTCAGTCCCATCGCCGCCATCATCATCACCATCATCATCAGCCATGGCCTACCCACTGCCGGATGAAGGCCTCCCCGTACCAGTGCCACGTTTTGGACTAAGTACGGTGAACCCATTTGCGCTGCTGCTGCTGCTGCTACTGCGGTGGAATGTCGGGGAATGTAATAAACTCTGGCCCCCCCATTGTTTTCTCTGCCAAGCCAGGAGATGGAATTGAACCGGCGACCCCTGGATTTCAAGTACCACGTGATATCCATTACGCCATCGCGGCAGCGTGGCTTGTATGATTGTACGAACATATGTATTACGGGCGAGGTGCGGTTTTTAAACGTATAAGATTTGATGCTTTTCTACAATTTAAGGACAATTTCTCAATGTTTTATGATTTAAAATTAATTTACATTGTGTAATAATTCGGCATATATCTATTTGCAAAATTTGCTTGTGGGAATTTGTTTTTCAACTCACCGGTGAGCTGAAACAATAACATTTGGCTCGTTTTTCAACGCTTGTACACGTAACACTACCACTCTGTGCGCATGTGCGTGAGTGTGCGCGTGTCCCAGGGCACGTGTCACCAGTATCGTGAGCTCCTTGACTCTGCGCTCGTGTTTCCGAGCCACCTTCACAGTCTCCGCGCTCCTCCTCTGCTCCTCGTCCAGATCTGACTGCAGCTCTCGCATCTGAGACACAGCAGCAGCAACAGCGGTAGCAGCAGCATGAGCGGTGAGAACAGCCTGCCCAAGATCCATCCTGGGTTGAACCACACCCGGATTGTGTGAGGAGTTCACAGATCCTCGGGAGATCTGGTCAGTTTCATGGGTGAGCTCCTCCGACAGGCGAGGCTCCATTGGCTGGGTCATGTAGCCCGCATGCCCAGCCAAGCGCAAGCAGCTATTAACTGTTTTGTTTGGCCAGGACGGCCCATAATGGCCGTGTCTCTGGTGTCTTTTTCTTAGAATCAGATTTCAACATTTTCTGGCCTCATGTTGCGGGGCTACCCGAGCAGTGGGAGGGGCTACCTGAGCAGTGGGAGGAGCTACCTCAGCAGTGGGCGGGACTACCAGCTCACCACGATGTGTCCCGGTTGGAGCTCTCACCATCATCCACTGCTGCATGAAGGCTTCCCCAAGCCACCGCATCCGACCTCGTACTACCTGTGTGGGGGCGTCTTTGTGAAAATGAGCGCGCGGGCACCTACCCGCGCCTCCATCTTGAGCAGCTGCTTCTTGCCGCCCTTCATGGCCTCCTCCTCGGCCTCCTGCAGGCGAGCCTGGAGGTCATGCGCCGCGTCCTCCATGTTGGCCTTGACGCGCTCCATGTGGGAAAGCACGTCCCGCGACGCCTGGAGCTCATCGGACACCATGCACAGCTGTGCGACCACCGCACGGAGACACGGGGACATGCAGAGATGCACACGTGCAGAGACACACAGGGAGACAAAAGCAAAAGAACTTTGAAACAATGAAGCGAATCGAAATCGAAGCAAAAACCACCAAATACAATTCAGAGTGGTTATATCGGGTATCAATTGTGGTGTGTGTCGTGTCGTCGTGTCGTGCGTCGTGTCAAGCATTGTGTGTTTTGTGTCATTCGTCATGTGTGTCGTATCATGCATTGTGTGTCGTGTCGAGCGTCATGTGTGTCGTGTCATGCATCGTGTGTCGTGTCGAGCGTCATGTGTGTAGTGTCGAGCGTTGCGTGTATTGTGTTGACCGTTGCATGTGTCGTATCGAGCATTGTGTGTGATATCGAGCATTGTGTGTGTCGTGTCGAGCGTCATGTGTGTCGTGTTGAGCATTGTGGGTGTCGTGTCGAGCGTCATGTGTGTCGTGTTGAGCATTGTGTGTGTAGTATCGAGCATCATGTGTGTCGCATCGAGCATTGTGTGTGTCGTGTCGAGCGTCATATGTGTCGTGTCGAGCATTGTGTGTGTCGTATAGAGCGTCATGTGTGTCGTGTCGAGCATTGTGTGTGTCGTGTCGAGCGTCATGTGTGTCGTGTTGAGCATTGTGTGTGTCGTATAGAGCGTCATGTGTGTCGTATCGAGCATTGCGTGTGTCGTGTCGAGCGTCATGTGTGTCGTGTTGAGCATTGTGTGTGTCGTATAGAGCGTCATGTGTGTTATATCGAGCATTGCGTGTGTCGTGTCGAGCGTCATGTGTGTCGTGTCGAGCGTCATGTGTGTCGTGTTGAGCATTGTGGGTGTCGTGTCGAGCGTCATGTGTGTCGTGTTGAGCATTGTGTGTGTCGTGTCGAGCGTCATGTGTGTCGTATCGAGCATTGTGTGTGTCGTATCGAGCGTCATGTGTGTCGTGTTGAGCATTGTGTGTGTCGTGTCGAGCGTCATGTGTGTCGTGTTGAGCATTGTGTGTGTCGTATCGAGCGTCATGTATGTCGTGTCGAGCATTGCGTGTGTCGTGTCGAGCATCATGTGTGTCGTGTTGAGCATTGTGTGTGTCGTGTCGAGCGTCATGTGTGTCGTGTCGAGCATTGTGTGTGTCGTGCATCGTGCCCTCACGTCAGACGTCGCCTTGGCGGCCCTCTCCTCCACGATGCTGTTCTGCTGCACAGATTTCTCCAGCGCGGCGCTCGCTTCGGCCAGATCGCTCTCCAGTTTCTTCTTCTGAGAGATAAGACTTGTGTTCTGCTCCCAACAGAGGCAAACACACCACAGCAAAGACAGTCGATACCCCGGTCTCCTCGAGCCAAGTCTCAAGACCCTGAGACCCGGTTTCCTGGAGCAGAGGCTCAAGATCCTGAGACCTGGTCTCCTGGAGCCGAGTCTCAAGACCCTGAGACCCGGTCTCCTGGAGCCGAGTCTCAAGACCCTGAGACCCGGTCTCCTGGAGCCGAGTCTCAAGACCCTGAGACCCGGTCTCCTGGAGCCGAGTCTCAAGACCCTGAGACCCGGTCTCCTGGAGCCGAGTCTCAAGACCCTGAGACCCGGTCTCCTGGAGCCGAGTCTCAAGACCCTGAGACCCGGTCTCCTGGAGCCGAGTCTCAAGACCCGGTCTTCTGGAGCCGAGTCTCAAGACCCTGAGACCCGGTCTCCTGGAGCCGAGTCTCAAGACCCTGAGACCCGGTCTCCTGGAGCCTCAAGATACTGACCCTGAGACCCTCGAGTGTGCCAGTGGAAAAAGGGGACGAGAGAGAGCGAGTGATGGCGAGAGACCTGCGTGAGCAGCAGCTGCACCCTCTGCGACACGTCTTGTGCCTCCTGTTCGCTAGCGCGACGGCAGCGCTCCGCCTGCTCCAGTGCTGCCGCCGCCTCCTGGAGTTCCTCCTGGAGCACCCCGCAGCGGCGCTCCAGCTCCACGCACTGCTCGGCACGCTCACGCGACCCGCGCTCCTCTTCGTCCAGCTGCAGCTGCAGCGCCTGCTCGCCCCCACAACGCGCGTAGCAGCCTGTGACGTCGCCTGGGAGACTCGACCATCATGACACGCGGTGGCGAGCCGGGTCCCATCCACCTTGGCGTGGCCATGCCAACTCAACCGCGGGCGGACGGACCGCTATCTGGAAGGGTCTCGAGACGATGATAGACAGATCTGGGTGTGAAGGAGTCCGAGCGACGTTCTCACCTTTATCTGGGCCTGCAGGCCCTTGAGGTGCTCCTGGGCCTCTGAGGCCTGGCGCAAGGCCTGAGCCAGCGCTGTCTGTTTCTCAATCAGCTCCGTCTCAATCTTCTTGCTGAGCCTCACAGCCTCCGCCTTGGCCTTCATCTCGGCCTCCAGGGAAAACTGGAGGCTCTCAACGTTCCGCTGGTGGAGCCTCACCATCACCTGCACCTCCTCGTCCTTCTCCGAGAGCCTGCGAGCCATCTCCGCCTTGGCCTGCGTGATCTCCAATTTGATGCGCATCACTCGGCCCTCCGAATACTCCAGCGTTGTCTGGGGAGGGGTTAGACACAGATGCGCTTGATTGTTATGACCCGGTCTCCTGGAGCCGAGTGTCAAGATCCTGAGACCCGGTCTCTTGGATCTGAGTCTCAACACCCTGAGACCCGGTCTCCTGGAGCCGTGTCTCAAGACCCTGAGACCCGGTCTCCTGGAGCCGAGTCTCAAGACCCTGAGACCCGGTCTCCTGGATCTGAGTCTCAACACCCTGAGACCCGGTCTCCTGGAGCCGAGTCTCAAGACTCTGAGACCCGGTCTCCTGGAGCCGAGTCTCAAGACCCTGAGACCTGGTCTCCTGGAGCAGAGTCTCAAGACCCTGAGACCCGGTCTCCTGGAGCCGAGTCTCAAGACTCTGAGACCCGGGCTCCTGGAGCCGAGTCTCAAGACCCTGAGACCCGGTCTCCTGGAGCCGAGTCTCAAGACCCTGAGACCCGGTCTCCTGGAGCCGAGTTTCAAGACCCTGAGACCCGGTCTCCTGGAGCCGAGTCTCAAGACTCTGAGACCCGGTCTCCTGGAGCCGAGGTGAAGTATCTTACAAATGAAAACTGAACCACTGACCTCAAGCTCCTCCAGCGAAGCCACGGCCTCCATCTTCTCAGTCTCCAGTTGCTTTCTGGACTTCTCCAAACCTCGCATGATGTCCTCACGATCGGCCAGCTGTTCCGCCAGATCCTGCACCTCTCCTGGTTATCAACAACAACAAAGATGCAGAGGTGGCCCAGGTGGCCAATACCGGTGTCTCAGAGACACTGAGCGAGATAATATTATTTTGATAAAAAGCACCTTGGAGGGCCTCTTTGTCCCTCTTGAGGTTTTCCACTTGCGCTATCATCTCCTCGTGGAGATTTTTCAGCTTGAAGACCTCGGTGCCAAGCGCGCAGCTCTCCTTCTGAGCGGCCAGCAGCTCGTCCTGCGTCTCCTGCTGCCGCTGCTTCCACTCGGCCAGGACCTACACCCGCCACGGACGTCCAGAGGTCATCAGAGCATCGCCTCCTGGGGCCTCGAGGCAGTGACAACAGGGAGGTGGACTCTGTGTCCCTAGACAATGATCGACAGACCAGTCTTTGATGGAGTTTAGTTACAGACAGAATGGTCTTTGTCTCTAGATAATGATTGACAGTCAGACCAGTCTCTCATGGAGTCTAGTTACAGACAGAATGGTCTCTGTGTGTCTCTAGATAATGATCGACAGTCAGACCAGTCTCTGATGGAGTCTCTGGGCAGTGGTGAACACGCAGAGGCAGGGGTTCAGGGTTGGACTCGCACCGTCTCGAAAGCTTTCTGCTTCTTCTGCAGGTTGGTGTTTGCCGCCTGGACCCTCTCCGATTCCATCGTGAGATCATCCACGTCGATCTGCAGTCGTTTCCGGGTTTTTTCCAGCGACGCGCACTTTGCGTTGGCGGCTTCCTTCTCCTCCTCCGCCACCTGCAGCCGCGCCGCGATCTTCTTCCTGCCAACGAGACAATCACGACCCTCAAACGACCGCCAAATGCGTTGAACGTTAAACCCCCCCCCAAAAATGTACTTTCACGGTCAAGGCCCGGCAGGGCGGATTTCGTATATTCAGCTGTGGCAATGCCAGCTCAGCAATAAGACGGTTACGCCGCATCGCGCGGCGCTTTCAGATGCGCGTTTCCGCGGCCGTCCGGGACACGCTTCTTCCTTCCAACATTTGGAAACCACGAGAGCTATGCAACTTTTAAATCGCCATCATCTAGATTAACAAACTCGTTTCCTGAGAAACTGCTTTTTGTGTTCACTTATCCCCAGGTCAAGCATCTTTATCTCCAACTCCATCACCGTCATCATCACCACCACGAACCATCATCATTGCCACCACCATCATCATCCCCACTTCCATCATTATCACCACCACCATCAATGCTGATAGCCAAGCGCTATGAGAATGGCGGGTGATGTACCAAATGTTGCACCTCTGATTAGCACGGTTGGCTACGCGTGGGTGCGAAATATATTAAACATAATACTAATATACACTACACACTACATCATTATAGACTACACTACTATACAATACATGATACATTACACTACTACACACTACACTACTACAAACTACTTTACACTACACTGATAATCACTACACCACTATACAACATTGAGAACTGATTTCTTTAGAAATGCTTGTTGTTGTGTTTAAGTTTAGTAATAGGTTTTTACCCTTTTAGCTGGCACAAAAATTGACACCTTTATACAAGGGATCATGTTTGCAATAACCACAACACAAGCAGTCAAAAATGCAAAAAAAAGAGACAACTCTGATAATGATATGCACTATCCTTGAATTTGATTGGTCCACACCCGAGACAGCTTTTCTTAGAGCCTAGTCTCCACTGGTGTTGGACCAGATGACGCCAAAAGGCGTACAACTCAAAAACAGCGCACTATCAGAGTATTGAGAGCAAACATGATCCCTTGTATAAAGGTGTCAGTTTTTGTGCCAGCTAAAAGGGTAAAAACCTATTACTATATCTTGTTACTGGCAAAGGAGGTCTCATAATGTGTTTAAGTTTGTTGTCCTTCCGATTAGCAACGATTTGGCTACGCACGGGTGTGAAAGAAGTTCAACATACACACATGTGTACATGATCCCGCATAGACCCCAGCACGATTTGCAGCTGTGTACGGCACCCCCCCCCCCCAGCCTGCCCCGTCTCCCTCTCCGCCCCTCCGGTGTTTGCCTGCCTCGCTTTGTTTCACCCTACACCTGTTTCTCCGCTTTTGACTAAAATAAAACATTCAAACCCACACCACTTTGAACAGTCTCATCTCCGGTGCAGTGCTTCCGCGTCTGTACAACGAAATAAAATCACCCCCCCCCCCACCCCTCCCGGCCATGGTGAGCCACCGCCACCACCGCAATTTCTCACTTGGCGTCCTCGAGCTCGTCCGTGCGCTGGATGACGTCCATCTCGTACTTGGCGCGCCACTGCGCCACCTCGGCGTGTGCTTGGGACAGCGCGCGCTGCGTGCTGAGCAGGGCCGCCTCCTCCTCCTCGCCCAGCTCGCCGAGGAGCATGCGGTCGTGCCGCGCCGCCTTCACCATGCCACTCAGCGTCGCGCGGGCCTGCAGGGGGGACGCGCACCGCGCGCAGCCAACGGGCGATTCGGCGTAGTTCGGCTGCGCGTGCGGCGCGCAAAAAGGGTTCGACGTGCTCGTGGTATGCGCTGTACGCAGAGCGCCTGTTCAAGGAGGATGGCGGTGGTGCATGGGGCGGAGGTGGTGTGGCTGGAGCCGCATGCGCGCACGCGGAGATGCGGGCAGAGAGAGTTCATGAACCAAATGGCAAATGCGCGTTCATACACGCATACCGATGCACACACGCGCATACAGAAACACGTGTGCATTCAGACGGACATACAAAGATCCCCTGTGTAGCCAGAACGGACTTTTGGGGAAAGCGCTGTTAGGCAGCACCTTTGAAAGCCGGCACTGCACACGAGGAGGTGAGTGGCCAGCACCATGCCCGGCTGCCTTGCATACCAATACCAATAGCCGCCGTTCGCACACTAACTGACGGTGCCGTCATCACGGGGCCTGTGGCAGGCCAGGTGCACTTTGAGGCCACATGAAGTGTCAAAGGCTCGCTGACAGGAGGTTACCGGACAGACCCAGCAGGTGCCATGGGTTGGCTGTCTGAGATGAGTGGTAGATGCACCAACTGTGCCTCCTACTGTGTCAACTTGCTGTGTTTTCGCCGTCCGGCACTCTGCTCGTTATTGTGAGCGGCGCTCCTCTGCCCTCAGTTGTTGTTGGAAGTCGACTGCCTCCAGCTGCCCAGTAACATCCTTCATGAGCCTCCTCCATAGAGGCCAGATTTGACACCGCTGGTACCGGTCTTCGGCAAGTCCACCCAGCACTACATCCTCCCGTACCGCATCTCTTCTCCAGCCCATGTCATGGCCAGTTAGCCCCCTCTATGCAGCCAAACAGAAGCTGCTTGGGCATGCGGTGGCTGGGCATGCGGGCTACATGACCCAGCCAACGCAGCCTTGCCTGCCGGAAGAGCTCATTGATGGGACTTTGTCCAGATCTTTCAAGAATTTGTCAGCTCTTCGCACAATCCGGCCTGGTTAAACCCAGGATGGATCGTAGGCAGGCTAGCCTGAATGTTTCTAACCGGTACAGATGTACCACCAAAGGAGTCCACGTTTCAGAAGCATCGAGAAGGGAGGGCATCACTGTGGCCGAGAAGACCCGAAGCTTCATGCGGAGCGACAGACCAGGTAGCTTCTACACAGCATTATGCACCCGATGAATAGATAATGCCGCCCGACTGATTCGGAATGAGACCTCTGCTGTCAAACCGGAGCTGGTCATAAGCACACTGCCCAGGTATGGGAAACTCTCCACTCTCTCCACAATTGCTCCATCACCAATGGGGAGCTGAAGGGGTGGAGTGTTTGATGGCACAAAATACCCAGACAAGTGCTTGGTTTTTGTGGGACTGATGGTAAGACCCTGCTTCTTAGTGGTACACTCCAGGTTCAGCAGCAGCAGCACCTCCAACTCCTCCTCTAGGTAAGCAGCAATCAACAGATCATCGGCATACATAACATGGTTGACCAACAGGGAGGAATCCCTCAACCGCACCCGGGCATTGATCAGCCTCCCATTGTATCTGTACCAGATGGAAATTCCTCCGGTACAGATATTGAAGGCTTCACGAACTACGTGGTCGGTCGAAATATATGTTAAATAATGTGGGAGCCAGAGGACATCCCTATCCCACCCCAAAGTGAAGAGGGAATGGCTCCAACTCCCAGCCACGTAGTTTCACCCGGGCCCGCTAACCAATATGAAAGTCCTTAATGATCGTGAGTAGTGGGTCAGGGACTCCGAAAGCACGAAGAACAACCCAGAGCCCAGGCCTACTGATGGTATCATAGGCCTTGACCAGGTCAATAAAGCAGAGATGTAGGGCTTGTGGGAGTTCCCTACACCTCTGCTGTAGCAGACGGACAAAAAATATTGCATCTGTGCACGACTGCCCTTTCCTGAAACCACATTGGGGCTCCGCAAGCCTCTTCTCAGCATGCCTGGCAAAGCGATGTTGAATAATCCTTGGCAAGATCTTTCCCGGCACACTAAGGAGTGAGATGCCCCTGTAGTTGTTACAGTCTGTGCGGTCCCCCTTGTTAAAGAGGGGGACCACCAGGGCATCCTTCCAATCCTGCGGAACCCATCCAGTGGTCCAAACTGTTATGATGTCATGTAGGACAGTCTGTGCACAAACGCCACTCTCCCTCAGCATTTCGCTTGGGAGGTCATCTCTGCCCGGTGCCTTTCCTGGTCTCAGGCTCTGGATCTCCTTTAGTACTTCTTCAACAGATGGCACCTCAGCCAGCCACTTACAGGGGGTGACTTCCTCTTCCAATATATGCGGCACTGCAGCCTCAGCAGGGTCATCCCCACTTTGTCCCACGATGTTTTCCAGGCTGAGGGATTTCCCTCCCCAGGACCTCACAGAATGCTCAGCAAATCTGCAAACCTGTTCCTGGGGGCCGGATATTGGATCACCGTTCTTTCCCGTAATGATGGTAATAGGTGTGGTGCTGCAGGTTACCTTTTTGATGGAATTAAAGAGCGATTTGTGATCGCGGGCCACTGAGGAAGACTCCATCTCCTCAGCAACCCGAGACCACCAACCATGCTTGCAGCGCCTCACGGCTCTCCGAACCTCCGAGCGAAGGCTGCGGTAAGCCTCTTCATTCTCTGACGTGGGATGCTGTAGACGATTAGAGTGGGCCTGTCGCTTTTTCTCAGCCAGTCTGAACACCTCCTCTGTCAGCCAGGGTTTCCGAGGAGGTCTGGCCCGTGTACCCAAAGCAGCCATTGCATACAGACACACACACATGCATACAGATAGCAAGCCGCACGGATAATTCACCTTGCTCTCCTCCAGCAGCTGCTGCCTCAGCTCCTCGATCATCTGCGTCAGAGACTGCGACAGCTTCGCCGCCTGAATGACCTGCAGCTCCTTCTCCTCCAGCTGGCGACCCAGGGCATCTGAGAGTTGACAGCGGAAGTTGTAGTGGCAGCAGGAGCAGCAGCGGTAGAAGCAGCAATAGCAGCAGAGGCAGTAGTAGTCGTGGTAGCAGCAGAAGTAGCAGCAGTAATAGCAGCAATAGCAGTAGCGGCAGCAGAAGTTGCAGCAGTAGTAGCAGAAACAGCAGCAGTAGCAGCAGCGGTAGTAGTAGTGTGATAGCAGCAGAAGTTTCAAAAGTAGCAGCAGTAGTAGCAGCAATAGCAGCAGCAGTGGCAGCAGCGGTAGTAGTAGTGGTAGCAGAAGTAGTAGCAGCAGCAGCAGCAGAAGTTGCAGAAGTAGTAGCAGCAGCAGTCACAACAGTAGTAAGTAGTAGTAGCAGCAATAGTAGCAGCAGTAGTAGTAGTGGTAGCAGCAGTGATTACATTCGTGATGAACATATGCCTATAACGAGATGTTTATTTTTGTCTACAATGAAAGTGAGTGGATGAAAACCATCAAGCGTGATGATAACTATGGCGACTACCAACCAATGCCAACATCATCATCACTACTGTCGTCATTACCATCAGCACCACAATCATTATTCCCACCATGACAATCATGACGACCTCTATCATTATCTAAACATACATCTCCAGCTCCATCACCATCCCCACGACGACCATCATCACCACTCCCAACCATCATCACCACCACCATCAACGCTTATAGCCATGCGCTATGAAAATGGCGTGATGTACCAAATGTCGCACCTCCGATTAGCACGGCTGGCTATGTACGTTGCGAAATAAGTTTACCATACATACAACCTACTATACACTACACTACTAAAGACTACACTACTAAAGATTACACTACTACACAACTACACACTAAACTTCTATACACTACACTACTACTTACAACACTACTACACACTACACTACTATACCCTACTAAAGATTACACTACTATACACTACACCACACTACACTACGATACACTACACTACTATACACTACACTGTACACTACACTACTATACACTACACTACTACGTACTACACTATACGCTACACTACTATACACTACACTACTATACACTACACTACTATACACTAATTCTAGATTTGAAGCTTTCGTGACTGCAATGATTCATACTCTTTGTTTTTTTTGTAAAGTCACGTAGGTAAAACAAATTAAAATAAATTGAAATAAAATAATAGAAACAATTAAAACACGACGTTTCGGAGGCAAAGCAAGACGGAAGCTTGCTTTGCCTCCGAAACGTCGTGTTTCCGTCTTGCTTTGCCTCCGAAACGTCGTGTTTTAATTGTTTCTTTTATTTTATCTCAATTTATTTTAATTTGTTTTACCTACGTGACTTTACCGAAAAAAAACAAAGAGTACTATACACTACACTACTAAAGATTACACTACTACACTACTATACACTATACTACTATACACTACACTACTATACACTACACTACTAAAGATTACACTACTATACACTACACTATTATACACTACACTACTATACACTACACTACTAAAGACTACACTACTAAAGATTACACTACTATACTACTATACACTACACTATACACTACACTACTATACACTACTACACTATACACTACACTATACACTATATTACTAAAGACTACACCTTACCCCGCACCTCCGATTATCACAGCTTGCTACGTACGGTGCAAAATGAGTTTACGGTACACACATACAACCTACTATACACTACACACTGCACTATTACACTACTATACACTACCCTATACTGTACACTGCACCACTATACACTACACCACTACACACTACACCACTACACACTACACTACTATACACTACACTACTATACACTACACTATACACTATAATACTATACACTACACCACTACACACTACACTACTATACACTACACTACTAAAGACTACACTACTAAAGATTACACTACTGCACTACAACAGTGAGAGAAAAAAATATTTAATCCCCTGCTGATTTTGTACGTTTGCCCACTGACGAAGAAATGATCAGTCTATAATTTTAATGGTAGCTTTATTTGAACAGTGAGAAACAGAATAACAACAAAAAAGATGTAGAAAAACGCATGTCAAAAATGTTATAAATTAATTTGCATTTTAATGAGGGAAATAAGTATTTGACCCCTCTGCAAAACATGACTTAGTACTTGGTGGCAAAACCCGTGTTGGCAATGACAGAGGTCAGACGTTTCTTGTAGTTGGCCACCAGGTTTGCACACATCTCAGGAGGGATTTTGTCCCACTCCTCTTTGCAGATCTTCTCCAAGTCATTAAGGTTTCAAGGCTGACGTTTGGCAACTCGAACCTTTAGCTCCTTCCACAGATTTTCTATAGAATTAAGGTCTGGAGACTGGCTAGGCCACTCCAGGACCTTAATGTGCTTCTTCTTGAGCCACTCCTTTGTTGCCTTGGCCGTGTGTTTTGGGTCATTGTCATGCTGGAATACCCATCCACAACCCATTTTCAATGCCCTGGCTGAGGGAAGGAGGTTCTCACCCAAGATTTGACGGTACATGGCCCCGTCCATCGTCCCTTTGATGCGGTGAAGTTGTCCTGTCCCCTTAGCAGAAAAACACCCCCAAAGCATAATGTTTCCACTGCCATGTTTGACGGTGGGGATGGTGTTCTTGGGGTCATAGGCAGCATTCCTCCTCCTCCAAACACGGCGTGTTGAGTTGACGCCAAAGAGCTCCATTTTGGTCTCATCTGACCACAACACTTTCACCCAGTTGTCCTCTGAATCATTCAGATGTTCATTGACAAACTTCAGACGGGCATGTATATGTGCTTTCTTGAGCAGGGGGACCTTGCGTGCGCTGCAGGATTTCAGTCCTTCACAGCGTAGTATGTTACCAATTGTTTTCTTGGTGACTATGGTCCCAGCTGGCTTGAGATCATTGACAAGATCCTCCCGTGTAGTTCTGGGCTGATTCCTCACCGTTCTCATGATCATTGCAACTCCACGAGGTGAGATCTTGCATGGAGCCCCAGGCCGAGGGAGATTAACAGCTCTTTTGTGTTTATTCCATTTGCGAATAATTGCACCAACTGTTGTCACCTTCTCACCAAGCTGCTTGGCAATGGTCTTGTAGCCTATTCCAGCCTTGTGTAGGTATACAATCTTGTCCCTGACATCCTTGGAGAGCTCTTTGGTCTTGGCCATGGTGGAGAGTTTGGAATCTGATTGATTGCTTCTGTGGACAGGTGCCTTTTATACAGGTAACAAGCTGAGATTAGGAGCACTCCCTTTAAGAGTGTGCTCCTAATCTCAGCTCGTTACCTGTATAAAAGACACCTGGGAGCCAAAAATCTTTCTGATTGAGAGGGGGTCAAATACTTATTTCCCTCATTAAAATGCAAATCAATTTATAACATTTTTGACATGCGTTTTGCTGGATTTTGTTGATATTCTGTCTCTCACTGTTCAAATAAACCTACCAATAATATTATAGACTGACCATGTCGTTGTCAGTGGGCAAACGTACAAAATCAGCAGGGGATCAAATACTTTTTTCCCTCACTGTATACACTATACTACATTATACTACACTATACACTACACTATTATACACTACACTACTATACACTACTATACACTACACTACTATACACTACACTACTATACACTACACTATACACTACACTACTATACACTACACTACTAACGACTACACCTTCCTCCGCACCTCCGATTAGCATGGCTTGCTACGTATGGTGCAAAAGGAGTTCACGGTACATACATACAACCTACTATACACTACACTATTACACACTGCACATTTACACTACTATACACTACCCTATACTGTACACTGCACCACTATACACTACACTACTATACACTACACTACTATACACTACACTACTATACACTACACTATACACGACACTACTATACATTACTATACACTACACTATACACTACACTACTACACACTACACTACTATACACTACACTACTATACACTACACTACTATACACTACACTACTATACACTACACTACTATACACTACACTACTATACACTACACTATACAACTACACTATACACTACACTATAAATGTAAATGTTGTAGTGGGTTTACTCTCCAACACACATCTGGTTAATGCTGAACTTCTATGCTACACTATAAACTGCACTACACACTATACACCACACTACTATACACTACACTACTATACACTACACTATACACTACACTACTATACACTACACTACTATACACTACACTATACACGACACTACTATACATTACTATACACTACACTATACACTACACTACTACACACTACACTACTATACACTACACTACTATACACTACACTACTATACACTACACTACTATACACTACACTACTATACACTACACTACTATACACTACACTACTATACACTACACTACTATACACTACACTATACAACTACACTATACACTACACTATAAATGTAAATGTTGTAGTGGGTTTACTCTCCAACACACATCTGGTTAATGCTGAACTTCTATGCTACACTATAAACTGCACTACACACTATACACCACACTACTATACACTACACTACTATACACTACACTATACACTACACTACTATACACTACACTACTATACACTACTATACACTACACTACTATACACTACACTACTACACACTACACTACTAAACACTACACTACTATACACTACACTGATATACACTACTATACACTACACTACTATACACTACTAAACACCACTATACACTACACTATACACTACACTACTATACACTACACTACTATACACTACACTGCTATACACTACACTACTATACACTACACTATACTACTATACACTACACTATACACTACACTACTACACTATACACTACACTACCATACACTATACTACTACACACTACACTACGATACACTACACTACTACACACTACACTATACACTGCACTACTATACACTACACTATACACTACACTACTATACACTACACTTCTATATACTACACTGCTATACACTACACTACACTACTATACACTACTATACACTACACTACTATACACTACACTACTATACACTACACTACCCTACTATACACAACAATATATACTACACTACTACACACTATACACCACACTACTATACACTACACTACTATACACTACACTATACACTACACTACTATACACTACTATACACTATACACTACACTACTATACACTACTATACACTACACTACTATACACTACACACTACTCTACTAAACACTACACTACTATACACTACACTGCTATACACCACACTACTATACACTACACTACTATACACTACTAAACACTACACTACTATACACTACACTACTATACACTACACTATACACTACACTACTATACACTACACTGCTATACACTACACAACTATACACTACACTATACTACTATACACTACACTATACACTACACTATACACTACACTACCATACACTACACTATACACTACACTACTATACACTACACTGCTATACACTACACTACTATACACTATACTACTATACACTACACTATACACTACACTATACACTACACTACCATACACTACACTACTATACACTGCTATACACTACGATACACTACACTACCATACACTACACTACTATACACTACTACACACTACACTACTATACACTACACTACTATACACTACACTGCTATACACTACACTACTATACACTACACTACTATACACTACACTATACACTACTATACACTACACTACTATACACTACACTACTACACACTACACTGCTACACACTACACTACTATACACTGCACTATACACTACACTATACACTACACTATACTACTATACACTACACTACTATACACTACACTATACACACACTACACTACTATACACTACTATACACTACACTACTATACACTACACTACTATACACTACACTACTACACACTACACTACTAAACACTACACTACTATACACTACACTATACACTATACTACTATACACTACACTATACACTACACTACTACACTACTATACACTACACTGCTATACACTACACTATACACACACTACACTACTATACACTACTATACACTACACTACTATACACTACACTACTATACACTACACTACTACACACTACACTACTAAACACTACACTACTATACACTACACTATACACTATACTACTATACACTACACTATACACTACACTACTACACTACTATACACTACACTGCTATACACTACTATACACTACACTACTATACACTACACTACTACACTACTATACACTACACTACTACACTACACCACTACACACTACACTATACACTACACTACTATACACAACTATACACTACACTATTATACACTAAACTACTGCACACTGCACTACTATACACTACTATACACTACACTACCATACACTACACTATACACTACTATACACTACATTACTATACACTACTTTACTATACACTACACTACTACACACTACACTACTATACACTACACTGCTATACACTACACTGCTATATACTACAATACACTAAACTACTATACACTACTATACACTACATTACTATACACTACACTATACACTACTATACAATACACTGCTGTACACTACACTACTATACACTACACTATACACTACACTGCTGTACACTACACTGCTGTACATTACACTGCTGTACACTACACTACTATACACTACACTACTATACACTACACTATACACCACACTACTATACACTACATTGCTGTACACTACACTACCATACACTACACTACTATACAGTAAACTACTATACACTACACTACTATACACTACACTACTATACACTACACTACTATACACTTTACACTACACTATACACTACACTACTATACACTACACTATACACTACACTACTATACACTACACTACTATACACTACACTACTATACACTTTACACTACACTATACACTACACTACTATACACTACACTACTATACAAAAGAAGTTCAAACGCACGTGTCCGCACTACGCCGCCGCTGTTGTTATTATTGTTGTTATTATTGGTATTATTGTTGTTATTATTGTTGTTACTGTTGTCATTATCGTTGTACTAACGACCGATGCCGAAGCGTGCTCGCGAGGATGGACCCCCCCCCCCCCCCGCTAACCCCCCCTTACCCCGCCCCCGCTTACCCGCCCCCCGCTTATCCCCCCCCCCGCTTACCCCCCCCTTACCCCCCCCTTACCCCCCCGCTTACCCCCCCCACCCCCCCCAGCTTACCCCCCCCCGCTTACCCCCCCCGCTTACCCCCCCCGCTTACCCCCCCCGCTTACCCCCCCCCCCGCTTACCCCCCCCCGCTTACCCCCCCCCCGCTTACCCCTCTCGGCCAGTGCGAGGGCCCTCTGCGCCGCGAGGTCACCCGCGGCCTTCGCGCCCGCCTCGTCCTTCTTCCTGAGCTCGCACAGCTGCTCGTCCAGCTGCCTGTTGGCCTTCTGCAGGCTCACCTGGTGGTCAGTGTGGTGAGTGCGGGGGGGGGGGTAAAGGGCAGCCCTGCAACGAGCTCGCTCGCGCCACTGCTGTGGGGGTGAGGGCGGTGGACCCTGGGCTCTGTGCTCGCCCGCAAGAGACGCGTGAAGGACAGAGGAGGGGGTGGTGGGGGGGGCAGAGGGGGTGGTGGGGGGGGTGGGGACAGAGGGGGTGGTGGTGGGGGGGGACAGAGGTGATGGTGGGGGGGTCCGGCCACAACTTCGTCGCCACCGCCGCACGCACGCGGTCTGTCGAGTGACTGAACCACGGCGCTAATCGTCTATGATGCCGCGGGGGTGGATTGAGGCTGGGGGAAGATTTATGAAAGGTTGTAACGTTGTTCCAGCTGGCACGAGACACAGTCTCCTGGAGCCGAGTCTCAAGACCCTGAGACCCGGTCTCCTGGAGCCGAGTCTCAAGACACCGAGACCCGGTCTTCTGGAGCCGAGTCTCAAGACCCTGAGACCCGGTCTCCTGGAGCCGAGTCTCAAGACACCGAGACCCGGTCTTCTGGAGCCGAGTCTCAAGACCCTGAGACCCGGTCTCCTGGAGCCAAGTCTCAAGACCCTGAGACCCGGTCTCCTGGAGCAGAGTCTCAAGACCCTGAGACCCGGTCTCCTGGGACCGAGTCTCAAGATGCCAGAGAAGGAGGATGTTAAATACCTTAGTCTTGTTCAGCTGCTCAAGGCTGTTCCCAAGATCCTCCACTTGCATGCCCAGCTCACATTTCTCCTTCTCTAGGTTCTGCTTCAACTTATGCAGATCCTCAATCTGTAATGTGGGGGGAGGGGGGGATAAATAAATAACATTCTTCACAAGCTGGCAAATGAGTCCATTAACAGAGCCTTCCATTTCCTTAGGGACTTAGGCCTAAACTGTATATATAAATAAAATATCATAAGATTACGGTTCGGGTTTCATTTCTCACTCGACATTGTCAGCAATTCCACTCGGCGATGTCACTCACTCGCTCGCTCACTCACTCATTCACCCACTCATTCACCTACCCACTCGCTCATTCACCCACTCATTCACCTACCCACTCACTGATTCACCCACTCACCCACTCGCTCATTCACCTACTCACTCACCCACTCATTCACCTACCCACTCATTCACCCACTCATTCACCTACCCACTCGCTCATTCACCCACTCATTCACCTACCCACTCGCTCATTCACCAACTCACTCGCTCGCCCACTCATTCACCTACCCACTCACTCATTCACCTACCCACTCACCCACTCACTCGCCGACTCACTCATTCGCCTACCCACTCACTTGCTCACCCACTCACTCACCCAGAGTGGATTGGCACATCTGTAAATAACTAATAACCACAGTCTCCAGATTATAAGACGTGTACTTTTCGCCTGTGTGTAAAAACAATAATTGGGTGTATGTTTAATGATCCAGGAGCAGTGCCGGATTTTCCTAGGAGCAAAAGCAGCTACACGTGTAGTAGTAGCTACTACTACTACACGTGTAGCAGCTACATGTGTACTAGTAGCTACGAGCCCCGCACTTTCAAGGGCCCCGCGCTAAACGCTTTCAAGCTATCAATTCCGGTTCAGCGATTCTGCACTTGCTCTATTACTATAGTACTATACCGCATTCAACTTTTATGAACGACTGGGTGTTTAAGGTTAGCGATTTGTCGTATCTGGCTGTATAGCAAATGAAAAAATAGAATTACTTTACTTTGCAAGTAAAAAATGTGTGTTTTAATGTTTGTGTGTGTTTTTTATTTAGGGCCCCTATATAAGATCATGCTACAGGCCCCACACGGGCTTCATCCGGCACTATCCAGGAGGTGTTTGTCTTTGTGTGATGGCGATTGCATAAGGCCAAATGAAGAACAACAGGAATCTAGTGTGTGTGTGTTTTTGTTTGTGACCAGATTGATACAATTTTATTGTGCCAGCTAAAAGGGTAAAAACCTATTACTATATCTTGTTACTGGCAAAGGAGGTCTCATAATGTAAAGGCTTACCCCGAGCTCTCAATACTCTGATAGTGCGCTGTTTTTGAGTTGTACGCCTTATGGTGTCATCTGGTCCAACACCAGTGGAGACTAGGCTCTAAGAAAAGCCGTCTCGGGTGTGGACCAATCAAATTCAAGGACAGTGCATATGATTATCAGAGTTGTTTCTTTGTGTTTGCATTTTGACTGCTTGTGTTGTGGTTATTGCAAACATGATCCCTTGTATAAAGGTGTCAGTTTTTGTGCCAGCTAAAAGGGTAAAAACCTATTACTAAGAGAATACGGTCATAATTATCATAACCTATATTTTAGCAGTACCAGTTTTAAAAATAAAAATGTCGACACGGCTATTATTAACCCCCTGAGAGAGACGCACACTCAGTATCTCAGCAGCATTGTGGTCAATGTTTGTGACATGGCCTGGGGCATTGGTGGCTATGCACGTGGCCTGTAAGCCAGCACTGCGGGGATGAGGGCTGGTCGATCACCACCCTTTCCCGTGGATGTCGAGGAGGAGCTGTGCCCTAGCTCGCCAGCAGCAGGCGAACGGCGAGGTGTGGGCTAATCACCACCTATCATAGAGGGGGGTTGTTTTGGGCTAGACCACGTAAATGTGTCGTTTAACCCGCCACCATCCGACACGGCCAATGAGTAGGGGGTTGTCACGTAAACAAAACGTGCGAATTTGTTACGAGTACAGCACACGCGTGTGTGTGTTGGAGAATAAACCCACTACAACATTTACAATTATAGTGTATAGTGTAGTGTACTAGTTCAGCAGACACCGGTTGTGTGTTGGACAGTAAACCCACTACAACATTTACAATTATAGTGTCGTGTATAGTGTAGTGTATAGTGTAGTGTGGTTTTCCCACCTGATGATGATTGATTGTGTTGCAATCGAAATGTGATTTATTTTATTTTATACCTACGTGACTTTATCGAAAGAACCAGAAAGTATCAACCTGAAATGTGACTGATCCCCCCCGCCGTGGTTGTATCTATAAAAAAATTACAAAAACAAAAAAGAACCTCCCCCCCCCAGAGCCACTACAAGACTCTTGTACCATGGCCAGCATGTGGTTGGACAAACAATTAAACAAACCCCTCTCGCACACACGCACAGCAGGGTCTCTTCCGATAGACAGCCCCAAAAACATGAAACTCGTAACGACATGGGGGTCCCAGGGGGTCAGACTAAATTTAACTTCGCACTCAACACACTCACCACCGTGCCGACTCGCGTAGATTTAATGATTTTTTTTACGACCGGCGCGTGCCTGCCACGTCTGTTCAAGTTGCACGGGCGGATCTTTGTCTCTGGAACGGTGGGGGTGGTGGTGGTGAGTTCAGCGCGCGATTTGCGAGTGGCTTTGATGAGCTACGCGGGACGATGTCGCTTTCAGTGACGGGTGGCCAAAAACCTGCACGTGAACTCGAGTTTTAAGCTCTCCGATGTGCCCTCGGGTTGTGCCGCGTGCTCGCCATGCTCGGCGTAGAAAGCACTGGAATTTAACTGGGCACCTGCCTGAGATGCCCCAGAATTTCAAAGCGCCTGACATCACATTGCATTGCAGTCATCACAATGCCCAACAATGGTGTTAGTAACAATGGTGTTAGTAACAATGGTGTTAGTAGCAATGGTGTTAGTAACAATGGTGTTAGTAACAATGGTGTTAGTAACAATGGTGTTAGTAACAATGGTGTTAGTAACAATGGTGTTAGTAACAATGGTGCTCGTAACAATGGTGTTAGTAACGCTAAATCTGTCCAGCATCCTTGAGGATATGGCAGTACAGCATGTGGGTTAATATTATTCTTCCCACAATGCAATCTATTTCTGTTACTTTTGATGTAAATCAGTTTCAATAGTCATACGTTTGAAGGAGATGCTCTGTTACTCAATAGCTACTGTTAGTGTAACTATTCATGTGTCTATTTACAAAAATTGGTCATCAGAAATTTTTTAGACAATTAAATTGTCATCAGGCCCCATGGTATAAACAAGTGCTTTCTGTCTCTGTGTGAATCTGAGAGTCTCTATGAATCGGTGGGTCTCTGTGTGAGTCTCTGGGTCTGTGCGTGAGTCTCTGGGTATTTGCATGAGTCTGCGGGACTCTGTGTGAGTCTGTGTGTCTCTGTGTGTCTCTGTGTGAGTGCAGATCTCTGCGTGAGTCTGCGGGTTTCTGTGTGTCTGTGGGTCTTTGTTTGAATATGTGGGTCTCTGTGAATCTGTTGGTCTCTGTGTGAGTCTCTGGTTCTTTGCGTGAGTCTGCGGGTCTCTGTGTGAGTGCAGATCTCTGCGTGAGTCTGCGAGTCTCTGTGGGAGTCTGTGGGTCTTTGTGTAAATATGTGGGTCTCTGTGAATCTGTGAGTCTATGTGTGAGTCTCTGGTTCTTTGCGTGAGTCTGCGGGTCTCTGTGTGAGTCTGTGTGTCTCTGTGTGAGTGCGGATCTCTGCGTGAGTCTGCGGGTTTCTGTGTGAGTCTGTGGGTCTTTGTGTGAATATGTGGGTCTCTGTGAATCTGTGGGTCTCTGTGTGAGTCTCTGATTCTTTGCGTGAGTTTGCGGGTCTCTGTGTGAGTCTGTGGGTGTCTGTGTGAGGCTGCGGGTCTCTGTGTGAGTCTGCGGATCTCTGTGTGAGTCTGTGGGTGTCTGTGTAAGTCTGCGGGTGTCTGTGTGAGTCAGCGGATCTCTACGTTACTCGCTCTCTATCTCTCTGGCTTCTTCTCGTGCTGCGTAGAAGGGTCATTGCTCCGAAACGTCATTGTGGAGACGCAAGGTGAATGCATCACCGGCCTGCAAGTGGGCATTGGCCTGCCGGTAGGAGGACGATGTCGCTCTGGGTGTTGTCAATCTGCAAGCGATTTATCAAAGGTGGACCGCGACAAGGGCACACATGGCCTACCACGTCGCAGGATATTTATCACTCACTGTGAAGCAGACGGCGTGTAGATGTTTCATGGTTGCTACGCCCGCAGTATTAACCAGGGCAGCCCAGGGGCTCGGGCCGGAAACCTCCACCATGTCCGACCTTTTGCTCTACGTGCTGGGAGCTTCTTCAGGAACGGTCGTGAATGGGCGAGCGAGTGAGAAAAGTCTGTTCCGAAAGGAGGCATGGTACAGGAGTAGTGCGTTCGCCACTTGTTGCGGAGGTTTGCGGATCTAACCCGGCGGGCCGCCCTGGTTATTATTGCGGTGTGTATTAACCACAAAGTGCTACTACTATTACGCGCCATCGGCTTCACGGTGGACGCCAACAATATCCTGGGACATTGTTTGAAAAGAGGAGCAGGCCATCATTGTGTGCCGGTGCCACGGTCCAAAATGGCCCAATTAGAAAATGTACTCCGCAAATTATTCAAATGGAATTACACACAGCAGCAACATCGCCCCCCTCCCCCCACTGCTGCGAAACTGCTGCAGACTGTGTCTGTGAAATGCAAGCGGCGTCTTCCTCCGCGTCGCTAGCCCCGGCAAGGTAACGTCGCGAGTACCCAACGCACCCGATTACTATGGCTGTCGTTTTATTTGCGTCCTTTTTTTAAGTAACCCAAACCCGCCCAACCACGGTCGCGGACACCCGCACCTGCTCGTTGGCGTGCACCAGGGCGTCGCCGTGCTTCGCCCTCATAGCCGTCACCGCCTCCTCCTGCTGCACCGTGGCCTCCTCGAGGCCCCGCCGGAGCCTCTGCAGCTCGAGCTCGCGCTTGCGCGCCGAGTCGGCCCGCGCCGCCGCCTCGCCCTCGGCCTCCTCCAGGCGGTGCGCCAGCTTGTCCAGCGCCGCCGCCGCGCACGCACCGCGCCGCTCCGCCGCGCTCAGCTCCGACTGCAGCCTCCCGCTCCGCTCCTCCAGCTCCGAGTTGCGCGTCTGCTCGCGCGCGCACGCGGCACCGGTCGCGAAGGGACGGGCGTGGGGGAGACCTTCATACGAGCAGCCGATTTGACCGTGGCTGATGATGAACTTGCCCATGTACCTCGGATGAAATTGTTTTAACGAACGGTGGGCGCTCCGCGCCACGACACATGCCAGTGCTGCTCCCCATACGAGATGTTTTGTTGGGTTGTAGCGCGTGAAAATAAATGTTGTGTCGTTAAACCCACCACCACCCGACACAGCCGATTAGTAAAGGGGTTTGTCACGTAAACAAAACGTGGACAATTCATTGCTAGTACAGTAGTAACGGTATTTTGGAGTATAAACCACTAAATTTACAATTATAGTGTATAGTGTAGTATACTAGTTCAGCACACACGGGTTGTGTGTTGGAGAGTAAACTCACTAAAACATTTACAATTATAGTGTAGTGTATAGTGTATAGTGCAGTGTATAGTGTAGTGTATAGTGTAGTGTGTAGTGTATAGTGTAGTGTAAAGTGTGTAGTGTAGTGTATAGTGCAGTGTATAGTGCAGTGCATAGTGTAGTGTATAGTGTATTGTATAGTGCAGTGTATAGTGCAGTGTATAGTGCAGTGTATGGTGCAGTGTATAGTGTAGTGTATAGTGTAGTGTATAGTGTAGTGTATAGTGTAGTGTATAGTGTAGTGTATAGTGTAGTAAACTCACTACAACATTTACAATTCGAGTACCGTGACGTTTCACCAGTAATTACAAACGACATCATCAGGCGGACAGCCAGAGTTGTATACACATTTATATTTACGCGATCTAACCCTCCAAAAACCTCTATTATAGATAATATTGGTCGTGAAAGCCTATGTCGTGTTAAACAGTATTCATCCTGTGATTAAAACAAGCAATGCAAAGGAACCACAGCACATCGATATTTGCCGTGGACGGGATTCAAACCCAGGATTTCGTCACGAAGTGGCCGATCACTGCACCACCCTTAATACGACACTCTTCTGTCATGACGATTGGAGGGGGACATTCACAGAGTGGGAGGGAATTCCAAAGTGGAGCAACGCAAGGCAAGATGTAATCAATCAAAACTCTGGAAAAGACAAAGAGGAATATCAGTTACTATTGTGCCAGACCCCTGTGGATTACGAAAGGGCATCCGACACAGTGGAAATGTATGCAGTCATCCAGGCGCTCGTTAAAACCGGACGCCTATATTTAGAAACGATAAAAAACCCAACCCATTTACAAGGATGGAACAGCTGGTACCGAGACTGCGCGGCGTGCCAGAACACGCGTCGTTAAGGGGCGGTCGGGACCAAAGAAGAGGAGGCACCCCTCCCCGCTGTAAATCACACTCGCCGCCCGTGGCCTGTAACCCGGCAGTCCGGCGGCCAGGGTTGGCGGAGAGCGCGATAGCCGCGGCAGCCAAGTGCTGGTCACTCTCCACCCGTTTCACACCTGTATGCCCCCTCGCGCCGCATGCCATTCCTCCCGCAACGTCGAAAGAAAATACCGATGGCAACGCAATATATTTAGAGGATGGCAGGGCTTGGGCAATTGTTTGGTCGTGTCGGCTCACCGCCTGGCTGTTGCCTTCCTGCTCGTCTGTGTTTCCTCCTGGCTTCGACAGCGAGCGAAAGCTGTGCGGCGCCGCGTTACAAGTTGTAATTATTTATTATTAGAATACGATTTCAGATAATTATACAGGGACTCCTCAAATTACCAACATTCGACTTACAAACTTTCAGAGATATGAAAAAAACCTATCGTCCAGTTGTCTATTCAGACCGAGAGTCGTAAGTTCAACCACCGCGCAATAGACGGCTGTGGTGACATCTACATCTGCAGAACGTGAAGAACCAGTGGCATCTACATCTGAAGAACGTGAAGAACCAGTGGCATCTACATCTGCAGAACGTGAAGAACCAGTGGCATCTACATCTGCAGAACGTGAAGAACCAGTGGCATCTACATCTGCAGAACATGAAGAATCAATGACATCTACATCTGCAGAACGTGAAGAACCAATGGCGTCTACATCTACAGAACATGAAGAACCAGTGGCGTCTACATCTACAGAACATAAATAACCAGTGGCATCTACAACTGCAGGAGATGTTAAACTCTTATAGCCATTCCCCATGTTAAGTGTACATGCCATTCAACATGTTTGGAATCGATAGGAGTAAAGTTGGACAAATGGACTGATGAACATACATCTGGAACCTCACTAGTTCGTAAGTAGAGGAGTCCCTGTCTTGGAGAAGCGAAGGTGTGGTCTACACGGCGTAAGACCTTCATCCAGCAGTGGATTGACGGAATGCTGTGAATTTATTATCATTATGATGAAGTCAAATTGATCTCTAAAAAATGAATCGGCATCATTGAAAAGATTCATGTAATGTGGGGCACGCGTAGGTGGCTCAGCAGGTGAACACTGGTGAGATGCGAGGCGGGACCTGAAGATCGATGATCTTCCTCTGGAGCTGGGATGTGAGGGTCATCTCCTCCCCATGGCTTTTGCTGAGATTCCCAACTTCAAAATCTTTCCTGTCAACGGAGACAATGCACACACGCAAACATGAGCACCCATACACTCGCCTGCGAAAGACACTGATCCTGAGACCCAGTCTCCTGGAGTCGAGTCTCAAGACTATGAGACCCGGTCTCTTGGAGCCGAGTCTCAAGACTCTGAGACCCGGGCTCATGCAGTCGAGTCTCAAGACTCTGAGACCCGGTATCCTGGAGCTGAGTCTCAAGACTCTGAGACCCGGTCTCCTGGAGCCGAGTCTCAAGACTCTGAGACCCGGTCTCCTGGAGCCGAGTCTCAAGACACTGAGACCCGGTCTCCTGGAGCTGAGTCTCAAGACTCTGAGACCCGGTCTCCTGAAGCCGAGTCTCAAGACTCTGAGACCCGGTCTCCTGGAGCCGAGTCTCATGACCCTGAGACCCAGTCTTCTGGAGCCGAGTCTCAAGACTCTGAGACCTGGTTTCCTGGAGCCGAGTCTCAAGACCCTGAGACCCGGTCTCCTGCAGCGAAAACCCCTAGATCCTGAGACCCGGTCTCGTTGAGCTGGATCTCAAAATGCCAATTGTAAGAGCTCTTGTCTCGCTCTCACCTCCTCAACTTCTCCTCCAGTTGCTGCTTCCCATTATCCATCTCCACTATCGTGTCCTCCAGGAGCTTAAGGTCAACCTCCAGCTTTCGCTTGGCCCTCTCCAAGTCCAGACGAACCTTCTTCTCTTTCTCGAGGGCACCCTCCACCTGCGGTGGTCCACGCAGAATTCAACTCAACTGACGACGTTGAACGGAAGAGACATCATTATCACCACTACTAACAGCACGAAGCGTTGACACTAGCAAAACTCTCTCACGCCTCTTATCAGCACGATTGGCTACGCACGGTGCGAAAGAAGCCCAACGTACACACGCACAACTCTCGAGGTACCGAGACCGCAGCTTCAGTATCCTGAAACCTGGTCTCCTGGAGCCGACTAGCTGTCAAGACACCTGGACATACAGTAGGAGAAAGTGCTCGGTATATCCAGCAATGGCGACGCCTTGTCTGCAGGTCGGTCCCTTCCCTTACCTCGTCCACTTGCATCTCGAGCCGCGCAGTGGTGTTCTTGAGCACCACCACCTTGTCCTCCTCTGCCCGGAGGTCCTCCAGCGTGTGCGCGTGGATCTCTTGCAGCGCCTTATTCTCCTTGGTCATCTTCAGAATGCTCTCCTCCAAGGTGGTCAAATCGCTGAGGAGCTTCTTGGCCTGCGGGTGGAGCGTGGTTGGCGGAGTAGGGTCCCCGTTAATGAGCAGGGAGAGAACGGAACAGGGTCCTCATTGTGGACAGAGGGTCCCCAATGAAGGACAATGAACGGCATTTCCACTAGGGTGGCTGAATGGTGACCGGCGAACCGGTCAAAACCGGTAACTGTAACCGGTAAAAAACGGTAACCGTTTTGAGGATTGATCACCGGTTACGAAAGTCAGGAAGTGGTAACCGAGTTCAGTGGAATGTTCGAAGACACATTTCATCTCTAATAGTCGCATTCAAAAGATGAATGTAATGCAGAAAAACAAGACTGAGATCCTCCGTATAGCCACCTGATGATGGACGCTTGTGTTGCGCCCGAAACGTCGTGATTTATTTTATACCTACGTGACTTTACCAAAAGAACCAAAGAGTATAAATTCCTGCAGTCACGAAAGCTTCAAATCAAGACCTTGACAGACTGTTGTATCAAGTGCTGTTAGCGAGCACCTTATGAAGGCCGAAACGGCACACGAGGGGGTGGGTGACCAGCACCACACCGAGCCGCCTTTGTCTCCCCAGGTGCGATGTTTTTACGCACTGCACCAGGTAGTAATTTGAGGCTGAGTCGACGTAGGGGATGCCCAGGACCGGTTAAGATAATCGCCACCGGTGCTGGTCATTAGCGGGAATCGAACTCGGTTCACTGGTGATGGTAGCGCAGTGCACTACCCGCTGCATACCGCTCCCCCGCATACTCTAACCCACACTCTTACCCCACCACTCCACGCAACCTGTCGATCGATTGGCTGCGTAGAACTCATTTACACGGACGGGCGGTTTGGGGGTGGCGGGGGCGGAATTTCAGAAACTTGCAGTGTTGTTTCAACTACCCGGCTGGGAGATGGAATTGAACCGGGCGACGTCTTGTTTTCTGACCGACCATTGCGCCACTGTTGCGTCTGCCTATGTCTTTCGGTTGACAAGGGGACGATGTTACCTTTATTTGTTGCTATAGAGACATTTCTACGTGCGTGCAGCAAGCCAGCAACTGGTTTTACTCGCTCAACCATCGATTTCAAAATAAAAACCCACCAAACGTAAGGTTGCAGCAATACAATCACACCTACTGACTCAACCACCACACTGCAGGTCACCACACACTCACCCACCCACTCACTCACCCACCACACACTCACTCACCCACCCACTCACTCAACCACACCACACTGCAGGTCACCACACCCTCACCCACTCACTCACTCAACTACACCACACTGCAGGTCACCACACACTCACCCACACACTCACCCACCACACATTCACTCACCCACCCACTTATTCAACCACTCACACTGCAGATCACCACACTTCTCTTTCCGATCCTTCCCTCGCAACTGCTCCACTTTGGAAGTCCCTCCCATCGCCGCTTTTCCAAAATCTCTCAAAGTAATAATGATGCGAAAAATAACTTTGCTCGGTACAAGAAACGCGTTAGCCTTCATCGATTACAAAAATGCTGTTTGTTGCTGACGGCTCAACATTTTTTCGGGCTCCGCAGGCGTGTAACCAACAACTCTGCTTAATTCCGAATCCTTCAAAACCAATTCCCCCCAAAGCGACGGGCCACAGATCTGCTGCATCACCTCGCCCGGTGTCCCCCCCCCCACCCTCGCCTCCAACGCGGCTCCACCCCCGGGGGGGGGGGGGGGGGTCGCACCTTGTTCTCCACTGCGACCTTCTCCTTGTCGCCTTTCACCAGCAGGAGCTCCAGGTCCTCAACGTAGAGCTTCGCGTTGGCCGAGTCCTCCTCAAGCTTCTTGGTTCGGGTCTCCAGGTCGGCCGACCTCTCCTCCTCGTCCTGGAGCCTCTCCGTCAGCGCCTCCACCTTGCCCTGGAGCTCCACGTTGCTCTGCTTGAGTCCCCCGCAACGCATCTCCACGCTGGTGACGTTGACCTGCTCCTGCACGCGCGTGCGTGTGTGTGTAGGTGGGGAGCGGTAGTGTAGCGGTTAGCGCTACGCTGCACTACGAACCCCGGCCATCCGAGTTTGATTCCCGCTCACGGCCAACACCGGTGGCGATTGTCTGAATCGGTCCTGGGCCTCCCCTAGGTCGGCTCAGCCTCAAATGAGTCCCCGGTACGGTGTGTAAGCATCGCCACTGGGGAGACAAAGGCGGCCGGGCGTGGTGCTGGCCACCCACCCCCTCGTGTTTTGTGCCGGCCTTCATAAGTGCTGCTCGCTAACAGCACTTGCCCCAACAGTCTGTTACAGGCTTTGTCTTTTGATGCGGAGAGTCAAAGTCAAAACGATACCGATTCATCATTGATTCTCACCGCCAAATTTGGCAACACATTGCCGAGTATCTCATTGCTGCATTTGGTTTTGGAAATTGTTCCTCGGCTCACCAGTGAGTGAGGGCGAAATAATACAAAATTAGTGCACTTTTAAACCCCCTTGTACGAGTGACAATGTCATTTGTTTGGCTGCATTGGGCAGTGGAGGGTCTCCACGACACATTTGGCCAGATCATTCCGTCGCGGCTTAAACCCCTAAGATCGATTGTTCAATCGCCGTAATTGCCTTCCTGATCAAATGACCGCTCCGCGCGGTTGCCTTGAATGGACTCTTCCATCTCGTGATGCGACGTCAACAGCGCGATCGGGGGTTTTAGTTTTAAAAAAGATGCAAGTAAATATTTTTGTTTACAAACATTGAACATTTTGAGAATTAATTTTTCCCCTTCCCATTTTTTCTGGCAACAAACAAGTGTTCAGATGTTAAAACACTAAACTGAAACCTCCTCATGTCTGCACCAACCACAATACTAGGGGGGGGGGGGGGGGAAGGCCTATTCTCGTATTTTGGTACTGGCAAGGGAGGTCCCATCATGTAGCTACTCACCCCGAGCCCTCATTTCAGGGACAATGCCACATAGATTATCAGAGTGTGTCTTTTGTTTGCATTCGGACCACAAGTATTGTGATTAATGCAGACATCATGATTCCTTGGTGTTTTAACATCTTAACACAGCTGTTTTGTTGCCAGAAAAAAGGAGAAAACCTATTCTCATATTTTTGTGCTGGCAAAGGAGGTGCAATGATGTAGCATTTCACATGTTTGTGTTTGTGTGTTTTAATATAAGACGGCTCTGGATCTCACGGCCTGAATTTGATGCTGCAGTTCTCTCTTCTCCAACAAGAGCGACATCACCCTCTTTTGCAGATCTTCCCCAACTCCTCCTAGGGAAGTGAGGGCGGACACGACGTTGATGTCGTCGTCCCCGTGTCCACCCGAGCGGACGCTGGACTTGAGCTGAGGCTTCAGCTTGTAGAGAAGTTTCATCCAGGGCCAGGATCGCACCTTCAGAAACACTCGAACGTTCTGCTGCACCACCGCCGCCGCGTCTCTGCGCACGCAGGGTAGAGGGGGGAGGGGAGGCAGGTGCAGCCCAGAGATCGAATGCCGCCACACAGACATTTTTTCGTTATGTTCACAGCGATTTTCTCACCCAGGAAAGCCTCACTCAGTTTTAAGACACTGAAGTCGGATCTCCTGCAGCCGAGTCTCAGGATACCGATACCCGGTCTCCTGGAACTGAGTCTCAAAACCCTGAGACCCGGTCTCCTGGAGCAGAGTCTCAAGACCCTGAGACCCGGTCTCCTGGAGCCGAGTATCAAGACGCTGAGACCCGATCTCCTGGAGCAGAGTCTCAACACTTTGAGACCTGGTCTCCTGGAGCAGAGTCTCAAGACCCTGAGACCCGGTCTCCTGGGGTCGAGTCTCAAGACCCTGAGATCCGGTCTCCTGGAGCCGAGTCTCAAGACGCTGAGACCCGGTCTCCTGGGGCCGAGTCTCAAGACCCTGAGACCCGGTCTCCTGGGGTCGAGTCTCAAGACCCTGAGATCCGGTCTCCTGGAGCAGAGTCTCAACACTTTGAGACCTGGTCTCCTGGAGCAGAGTCTCAAGACCCTGAGACCCGGTCTCCTGGGGTCGAGTCTCAAGACCCTGAGATCCGGTCTCCTGGAGCCGAGGCTCAAGACGCTGAGACCCGGTCTCCTGGGGCCGAGTCTCAAGACACTGAGACCCGGTCACCTGAAGTTTATTCTCTAAATTGGACCATTAAGACCGATAACTTCCCGGTGGCTCTATGCCGCCGTTGGGCCATCACCCACCGTTTCTCCTGCATCTTCGCGAACGTCTTCCTGGCGAGGAATCCTCGACTCGCAGCCTGGATTTGGATGAGCGCCTTCGGCGACTTCGCATCTTGTGCCCCCTTCTCGTCCCCCGCGTCTTTCGGCTTTAGCACGGCCTTCGCACAACACGGGCACATTTTCAGTGTTGTCCCCATAACGGTGGGTTCCTTATCACAGTGTGCGTTCAACGTTACAACAGTGTGCGCGTTCAGCGTGATAACAATGCGCGTTCAGTATTATAACGGTGCGCGTTCAGTGTTATAACGGTGCGCTTTCAGTATTATAACGGTGCGCGTTCAACGTTTCAATGGTGCACTTTCAGCGTTATAACGGTGCATGTTAAACGTTATAACAGTGCGCGCGTTCAGCGTTATAATAGTGCACGTGTTCAGCGTTATAACAGTGCACGTGTTCAGCGTTATAACAGTGCACGTGTTCAGCGTTATAACAGTGCACGTGTTCAGCGTTATAACAGTGCACGTGCTCAGCGTTATAACAGTGCACGTGTTTAGCGTTATAACAGCGCACGTGTTCAGCATTATAACAGTGCACGTGTTCAGCGTTATAACAGTGCACGTGTTCAGCGTTATAACAGTGCACGTGTTCAGCATTATAACAGTGCATGTGTTCAGCGTTATGACAGTGCACGTGTTCAGCGTTATAACAGGCGCACGTTCAGCGTTATAACAGGCGCGCGTTCAGCATTATAACAGTGCACGCGTTCAGCGTTATAACAGGCGTGCGTTCAGCGTTATAACAGGCGCGCGTTCAGCATTATAACAGTGCACGTGTTCAGCGTTATAACAGTGCACGTGATCAGCGTTATAACAGGTGCGCGTTCATCATTATAACGGGTGCGCGTTCAGAAGCTCATGTTCAGCGTTATAACGGTGCACGTTATGCGTTATAACGGTGCAAAAAGTACTGCCCAAGAAGAGCCACGTTGGAGCGACAACGAGTGAAGCGAGGAAGCTACCCTACGCGTGAAGTTAGCAAGCTACCCTACACGTGAAGTTAGGAAGCTACCCTACACGTGAAGTTAGGAAGCTACCCTATGCGCCAAGTGAGGAAGCTACCCTACATGTAAAGTGAGGAAGCTACCCTATGCGCCAAGTGAGGAAGCTACCCTACATGTAAAGTGAGGAAGCTACTCTACATGTGAAGTGAGGAAGCTACCCCACACGTGAAGTTAGGAAGCTACCCTACACGTGAAGTTAGGAAGCTACCCTACACGTGAAGTTAGAAAGCTACCCTAGATGTGAAGTGAGGAAGCTACCCTACACGTGAAGTGAGGAAGCTACCCTACACGTGAAGTTAGGAAGCTACCCTACACGTGAAGCGAGGAAGCTACCCTACACGTGAAGCGAGGAAGCTACCCTACATGTGAAGCGAGGAAGCTACCCTACATGTGAAGCGAGGAAGCTACCCTACACGTGAAGCGAGGAAGCTACCCTACACGTGAAGCGAGGAAGCTACCCTACATGTGAAGTGAGGAAGCTACCCTACATGTGAAGTGAGGAAGCTACCCTACACGTGAAGCGAGGAAGCTACCCTACACGTGAAGCGAGGAAGCTACCCTACATGTGAAGTGAGGAAGCTACCCTACATGTGAATTGAGGAAGCTACCCTACACGTGAAGTGAGGAAGCTACCCTACATGTGAAGTGAGGAAGCTACCCTACATGTGAAGTGAGGAAGCTACCCTACATGTGAAGTGAGGAAGCTACCCTACACGTGAAGTGAGGAAGCTACCCCACACGTGAAGTTAGGAAGCTACCCTACACGTGAAGTTAGGAAGCTACCCTACATGTGAAGTTAGGTAGCTACCCTACGTGTGAAGTTAGGAAGCTACCCTACATGTGAAGTGAGGAAGCTACCCTACACGTGAAGTTAGGAAGCTACCCTACATGTGAAGTGAGGAAGCTACCCTACATGTGAATTGAGGAAGCTACCCTACACGTGAAGTGAGGAAGCTGCCCTACATGTGAAGTGAGGAAGCTACCCTACATGTGAAGTGAGGAAGCTACCCTACATGTGAAGTGAGGAAGCTACCCTACACGTGAAGTGAGGAAGCTACCCCACACGTGAAGTTAGGAAGCTACCCTACACGTGAAGTTAGGAAGCTACCCTACACGTGAAGTTAGGTAGCTACCCTACGCGCCAAGCAAGGAAGCTACCCTACATGTGAAGCGAGGAAGCTACCCTACAGGTGAAGCGAGGAAGCTACCCTACATGTGAAGTGAGGAAGCTACCCTACATGTGAAGTGAGGAAGCTACCCTACACGTGAAGTGAGGAAGCTACCCTACATGTGAAGTGAGGAAGCTACCCTACATGTGAAGTGAGGAAGCTACCCTACATGTGAAGTGAGGAAGCTACCCTACACGTGAAGCGAGGAAGCTACCCTACATGTGAAGTTAGGAAGCTACCCTACACGTGAAGCGAGGAAGCTACCCCACGTGTGAAGCGAGGAAGCTACCCTACGTGTGAAGCGAGGAAGCTACTCTACATGTGAAGCGAGGAAGCTACTCTACATGTGAAGCGAGGAAGCTACCCTACATGTGAAGTTAGGAAGCTACTCTACATGTGAAGCGAGGAAGCTACTCTACGTGTGAAGCGAGGGAGCTACCCTACACGTGAAGTGAGGAAGCTACCCTACATGTGAAGCGAGGAAGCTACCCTACACGTGAAGCGAGGAAGCTACCCTACACGTGAAGCGAGGAAGCTACCCTACATGTGAAGTGAGTAAGCTACCCTACATGTGAAGTGAGGAAGCTACCCTACACGTGAAGCGAGGAAGCTACCCTACACGTGAAGCGAGGAAGCTACCCTACATGTGAAGTGAGGAAGCTACCCTACATGTGAAGTGAGGAAGCTACCCTACACGTGAAGTGAGGAAGCTACCCTACATGTGAAGTGAGGAAGCTACCCTACATGTGAAGTGAGGAAGCTACCCTACATGTGAAGTGAGGAAGCTACCATACACGTGAAGCGAGGAAGCTACCCTACATGTGAAGTTAGGAAGCTACCCCACGCGTGAAGCGAGGAAGCTACCCTACGTGTGAAGCGAGGAAGCTACTCTACATGTGAAGCGAGGAAGCTACTCTACATGTGAAGCGAGGAAGCTACCCTACATGTGAAGTTAGGAAGCTACCCTACACGTGAAGTGAGGAAGCTACCCTACATGTGAAGTGAGGAAGCTACCCTACATGTGAAGTGAGGAAGCTACCCTACATGTGAAGTGAGGAAGCTACCCTACACGTGAAGCGAGGAAGCTACCCTACATGTGAAGTTAGGAAGCTACCCTACACGTGAAGCGAGGAAGCTACCCCACGCGTGAAGCGAGGAAGCTACCCTACGTGTGAAGCGAGGAAGCTACTCTACATGTGAAGCGAGGAAGCTACTCTACATGTGAAGCGAGGAAGCTACCCTACATGTGAAGTTAGGAAGCTACTCTACATGTGAAGCGAGGAAGCTACTCTACGTGTGAAGCGAGGAAGCTACCCTACACGTGAAGTGAGGTAGCTACCCTACACGTGAAGTGAGGAAGCTACCCTACACGTGAAGCGAGGAAGCTACCCTACCGTGGCGTTTGCATGCGAAGCGGGAAGGCGGCGGATAGCAAATGCACTACGACGAAAGCGTTCGTTACCTTCTTGTGTACGAGGCGAGTTGAACTCTTCTCGATGGAACCCATGGCCTCACGGAGATGTCTCTGCGCACACAGCACACGGGTGGTCACAAACACCTCACGGTCTCAAACCACAAGCGGCCTTCAATGGGCGACGTTTTGGGCGCTGGCCCTTCTTCATGGCGCGCAAATGCTGGGCGGATGTCTCGCCTTTGTCCGGTAGCCGCCTGAGCTGGCATCACTCGAGCGGTTAGAGTTCCGCTATCGGCCACACAAAACAACACGAAAGGATTTTGTTACCTCTTGGGTGGGTACCACCGGCCATTAAATGTTTCACGTTTGCCATTTTAACTGAGCGAGTCCCCGCTCTGGGGCCCATGGACAATGTTGAGGCAAAGTGCCGTTAGCGAGCACCTGTGAAGGCTCGAACCCACGCCCCGGGCCGCCTTTGTCTCCCCGGTGTAGTCGCCTTGCACACCGCGGGAGGTTGCCAGTGCTGTGCCCATTCAAGGCCGAAATTCGTCTCAAGGTGTTGGGCCGTGAGCGGCAATCGAACTCGGGGAAAGTCGCGAACCACGTCGCGATGCGGGTCCCAACTTTCGAGGGTGAGGTGGCGATGTTTACTACACACCGCACCCAGGTACTCATTTGAGGCTGAGTCGACCTAGCGGAGGCCCACGACCGGTTAAGATCATCGTCACCGATGTTGGTGGCCGGGTTCGTAGCGCAGCGTAGCTCTAACCTGCTACACTTCCGCTAGAAAGACAAAGGTCCCCCGTGTAGCCTGTAACAGACTGTTGGGGCAAGTGCTGTTAGCGAGTAGCGGCACCTATGAAGGCCGGAACGGCACACGAGGGAGTGGGGTGGCCAACGCCACGCCCGGGCCGCCTTTGTCTCCCCAGTGGCGATGTTTACCACACACCGCACCCTGAGTCGACCTAGCGGAGCCCTACGACTGGATCAGATAGTCGTCACCGGTGTTGGCCGTGAGCGAGAATCGAACTCGGGTCGCCAGGTTTGGAGCAGAGGGGCACTCACCTGCTACACTACGGCAACACACAACACTCATACGATGATACACACACACACAGACACGCACGTGAATGTCTACACGGCCATCATTCAGAATCCACTCAAGAATCAAGAACCCCGTGAGCGGGGACTGAACTCGGTAATCGTAAGGTTGTAGTGGTGGGGGGGAGTGATTCGTAGCGGACCGCGCTAACCACTGCGCGGCCGCTCCTCACGCAACCCATACCGATAACGACAAGAGGGGGAATTTCAAATACACGACGGGCTGACTGACACAAAGATCCCCCGTGTAGCCTTAACAGACTGTTGGGGCAAGTGCTGTTAGCGAGCACATATGAAGGCCGGCACGGCACACGAGGGGGTGGGTGGCCAACACCACGCCCGGCCGCCTTTGTCTCCCCAGTGGCAATGTTTTTTACGCACCGCACCAGGTACTCATTTGAGGCTGAGTCGACCTAGGGGAGGCCCAGGACCGGTTCATAAAATCGTCACCGGTGTTGGCCGAGAGCCGGAATCCAACTCGAGTCGCTGGGTTCGTGATTGCAGCGTGCTTACCTGCTACACTACCGCTCCCCGACACACACACACGCGTTTCATAGTCACACAGACACAATATGTTAACAAAGAAATACACATATCATGGGACCTTCTTGCCAGTATCAAAGTATGCAAAAGTAAAAATACGTTTCGTGTGCCCGTTTTCGGCAATAAAACAGGCGTTAAGATGTTCAAACACAAAATAAGAAAAAATTTTGCAAGGCTTCAAGTTACTGCTTTAACCACACACACACTACACTGCTTGTTGTGAACATGCAAACAATGCTCCGATAACATCCCCACTGTCTTTGAAACATACACATAAATACAGATTTACATAAATGCATACACACACATATACCTGCATTCATAAATACATACACGTGCATAAACGTTCATCCAACAACAACAACCGCCATTCGCCACTTAGTGGCGGTGACGTCACCACGACGCTTGTGCCAGGCCATGTGCACCTTGAGGCCACGTGAAGTGTCGAACTCCCGCTGGCAGGAGGTCATGGGGCAGACCCAAGTGCCACAGGTCGACTGACTGAGATGACTGAGATGACGTTCATTCAGACACATAGATACACACAAATGCATAAATACTCACACGGAAAAGTACACACGTGTGCATAAACGCAAATACCATAATGCGTTACACAATTACACAGAAACCAACAGGCGCGCACACAAAATAGACATACACACAGATGCACATAAATACATACACACAAATGCACGTAAATACATACCCTCAGATGCACGTAAATACATACACCCAGATGCACGTAAATACATACACCCAGATGCACGTAAATACATACACACAGATGCACGTAAATACATACACACAGATGCACGTAAATACATACACACAGATGCACGTAAATACATACACACAGATGCACGTAAATACATACACACAGATGGACGTAAATACATACACACAGATGCACGTAAATACATACACACAGATGCACGTAAATACATACACACAGATGCACGTAAATACATACACACAGATGCACGTAAATACATGCACACAGATGCACGTAAATACATACACACAGATGCACGTGGGGTGACCAGCACCACGCCGCCTTTGTCTCCCCACACATTCACGCGCACAGAAAGCACGCGCACGGGGTTACATCGCCCAATGCAACCCCGTGAGCAACAGTTCCGCAAGCATTGAAGCCCTCGTCAACAAACTCCCAAACCTGAAGCCGAATGTCGAATGCCCCTTTGCAGTTCTCGATCACACTTCCTCCACCCCTGCGCCAGATTTATAGCCAGGTCCCGTCCATAGTAACGTGCCGTGACGTGCCCACAGCCTTCACCCCCTCCCTCAGCACCCCCCCCCCCCCACACACACACCACACAGAGCCCCAGTCCTCCTCTGCCAGGGCGGATTAGGGGACGCTTCACAGAAAAGACACAAATAGATCATCACAGGCGCATTTGTTTAACTGCCAACGGTAGAGTCGGGTTCACGTCCATCCCACCTATGATCCTAAAGATCACCGGTGTCAATATCATCGTGATCGTCGTCGTCGTCGTCATCACGAGCAGCAGCAGCCCTCATCAATCCACTGCTGGATGATGAAGGGCTGCCTCTCCCCGGTCTGCCGCCACCTCTCACCGTGCCTGCGATGCGTCAATCCGCTTCAGCGCCGGTACGTGCGTATGTATGTTGAACTTCTTTCGCACCGTACGTGGCCAATGGTGATAATCGGCGGTGCGGGCGGAAGGACAACAAACTAAAGCACAACAAGCAGTTCTAAAGAAGTGTAAATGTTGTGGCTCGCATTGTGAATGTTGTGGCTTGGCTCTCCAACACACCGGTGTGCTGTACTAGTGATGAATTGGCCACGTTCTGTTTACGTGACAACCCTTACTAGTTGGCTGTGTTGGGTGGTGGCGAGTTTAACGACACAACATTTATATATTTCCGCGATCTTACCCAAAAACCTCTGTTATGGATGATATTGGTCGCGAAAGCCTCCTACGTGTTAAACCGATCTAAAGAAATCAGTTCTCAATGTTGTATAGTGGTGTGGTGTAGAGTAGTGTAGTGTGTCGTAGTGCATTGTGTAGTAGTATAAATGTATCGTGTGTTGTATAGTAGTGTAGTGTATCGTAGTCTAAGTAGTGTAGTGTGCAGTAAGTTGTATGTGTATGTATATTGAACTTCTTTCGCACCGTACGTAACCTGTGCTTCACGCAGGCTGCATCATCCTCCCGCCTCCAACCATGACGCTTGCCTTGCTCGTTCCAAATGACTTATTATCGTCCGTAGTATGTATATATATAACATTAAACAGGGCGACCTGCCGGGTTCGAAGCGCGAACCACCTGCCAACAGCAAGTTGCGAACACGCTACCGCTGGGCCGTGTCACCACCTCGTGTCTCAATCAAGACACCCCGTCTCTCCGCACCAACACTTGGCTGACCTCTCCATGCTCACGATTGGCTCGTGCGTGCCCGCGCTAGTCCACGCGGCGTCGTGCTTAAACATTCATTCGTGGTTGTCGACGAAAGGCGGTTCGACGCGCAAACGAACAGAGTCTCGCTCCCGTATGTTGCGTCCCCTGATCAAAGTGCTCCTCCTTTCGGCGTGTCTCTCGCTGCTCGAATGGAGCTGCCTGCCTACCGGTGCTTATATCTCCAGAGCCAGCGGTGACAATTCTGCATTTGCCACGTGGAGGAGGCGAGCCTACCCGCAGGACTTCCCCCACAAAATGGTGCTCGTTGTATCGACCCCCTAGGGAGGGATGATAGGCTTGAGTCCGCTCCCAACCAGGATTTGATCTCACCACCTCCCAATTGATTCGCACCAATATCTTTATGGTTCGCTCACCGCAGCGGTCTAACCAAACGTGCACCGTCGTCGAGGCCCCTACACCAGCTGACACGGCCACACAAATTTAAAATTGCCACGTGGTGTGACGGCCATTTAATGGCGCGCCCATTATAATCGTACTCTTTGGTACTTTCGGTAAAGTCACGTGGGTAGAAAATAAAATAAATCACCACGTTTCGATCGCAACACAAGCGGTCGTCCTCAGCAGCTCCACTGCTGGATTATATTTTTTTCCACCTGAGGACGACCGCTTGCGTTGCGATCGAAACGTCGTGATTTATTTCATTTTCTACCCACGTGACTTTACCGAAAGAACCAAAGAGTATGGATTCCTGCAGTCACGAAAGCTTCAAATCATTGTCATCGTTCCATCTCCGCGACGCGCGGCAGGCAAATGGCCCACTCCCCCCCCCGTCCGCCTCGCTCCCTTCCTTGAAGGGCGATTTTCCTCACGACCAAAAGTATGTTAGACACGGACCAAATTCGAAACGTCAAGGCTGCATTCGCGTCGGCTCTGCCGTCGAGCCGCTTGGCCCCTCGGTGTTGTAGCGACGAGGTTGTTGGTAGCCGCCGGCCAAGCGCCCATCTGATGCCCGTGGTTCCTCGGCGATTGTGAGATGCAGTATGCACGGATTCGCGATAAAGCCGGATCAAACAAATCATGGTTATGCTGTGATGAGAGCTGCCAACGGCTGGGCTGGGTCGCACCGCCACCCTTTTACTTTTAATGTCACATATCTCCTGTCCAGAAGCCCTTGCACAGCAGTGCCAAGGTTGGGGTGAAGGCATTCTTTCCCAGTGCAGTCACTCGCATCGCATCCCCGCTGGCTCCGTAGTGTCCCATGTGTGGAAGGGAAATCCTTGTAAGTTTCCCCCCTTAGAGTTAGTTTAAAACGAGTAGACAAGAAATATATTTTTATTTTTTTATTGTACTCATTTCCTTCCCCAATATGATCCCGATTCTGCTTTGGGTGTAGCGTCCACGAGATCAAGATCCGTTTGGAACATCGGACAACGGTGCATCGACCCTTCGTGGCGGAGAAGCGTCTGTGGAAGCGGATCTTAACAAAAATGTCCCACAGAAGCGGATATCACAGAGCTACTTCTGACGTTCCCTTCTTCAGAGTGGCCTCGAGTCCACACGGCAGAGGGCAGCGCAGCAACAGAACCGGAGGCGGCTGGGTGGCTCAGAGGTCAGAGACGCTGAGCCCGGCATCACGACACCAGGGTTCAAATCCGGGTTACGGCCCCGCCTGTGATCACACCGGAGGTCTCGAGATGTAGCGAGTTGACGATCTCGGACCAGACACCAACGGCTGCACGAAATAAACCATCACATTGCATTTGGTTCCTGCACTTCTTTAACTAAATTCCAGCTCTGAGAATGTCATATCATGGGGTGACCGTCACGTGACGCTTACAGTTGGAGAGCAGGGGGCAAAAGTGCTGCCCCCTATTGGTCTGGACCAGAGGTCACTTGGTAGAAGGAACCTCAGAAGTAGCCTTGTGATATCCACTTCTGCGGGACATTCTTGAATACCAGAGAGGGCTATGCACTGCTCTGCGTGATTTCCCAACAGATTGTTATTTAGATCGTGGCGACTCGACGCCGACAGGAGCTCAGTCGGGATACAATTTGTGGAAGAAGAAAAAACCACGTCTTCGCCCAAAATTTTGTATTCATAAATGAAACTCGTAGTGTCGCTTCAAACCCTGGCTTCTTACCCCTGCCCCTAGGGGCACTACGCCTTGTCCATGCCCTGCAAAAGATGTTCGTCGATAAAAACCAACACGCGTCACACTCGCCGCTGAAATTTTTACAAAATTGGCTAATCAAATTTTAAATCTCTTCTTTTTTTTTTGCCAAGTTATTGATGCCCGGGTCTGAAACCAGGATTTAAGCCCAGGGTCTCGGTGGTGCCGGCCGATTGTCTCTGACATGGCCGTTATGTATGTTGAACTTCTTTTGTACCATACGTTGCCAGCCGTGCTTATCGGAGGTGATTATTAACCCAATGAGAGAGAGAGACCCAGTGCTTGAATCCAGGATCCCAGTGGTACTGGATCGGTGTGTCTGACACAGCCATTATGAACCCCGTGAGAGAGAGAGTGAGAGACACCCAGACCCAGGGTTTGAATCCAGTATCCCAGGGGTGCTGGCTCAGTGTGTCTGACATGGCTTTTATGAACCCCATGAGAGAGATACCCAGACCCAGGGCTTGAATCCAGGATCCCAGGGGTGCTGGCTCAGTGTGTCTGACACGGCTTTTATGAACCCCATGAGAGAGATACCCAGACCCAGGGCTTGAATCCAGGATCCCAGGGGTGCTGGCTCAGTGTGTCTGACACGATCATTATGATACACTAAACCACCTCCCTCCTCAAGCGTGCCTAACATATATGGTCAGAGAGAGAGAAAGATATACACACATACACAAGCTCACAGCTGCTTCCTTATTACCGGTGCAGGGGGGGGGGGGGTCTGATTAACAACACAACATGAAACTGTTAGGGCGCAGGTCAGGAGGTGACGCTAAGTTTGACTTTACGCTCAATACACCCATGACGGTGCCGAGCCAACCCGACTTTAGCGGTCCGGTTCGAGAGCGCAATGCAACGGGCGAACGGGGCGCGTGGTTATTTCTGAGTGACCGCGGCCGGACCGGTAATCTCGCGACACGCGATAGCCAGGGTTCAATGCGCGGATCTCGCTACACGTAAAATAAAAATTTAGTTTTAAATACAACAAATATGTAAATCGGTTGAATCGCGAGCTGCCGAAATTATGATTAAAAAAAAACTCTATAGCTGGCTGAGTGATGTTGTAATTGTAACCCCCGGAACTTCGAGAGACAGGTATAGCAGGGCCAGGGATTGAGTTGAGTTGTATTTTATTAAACCAGGCGAGAGCTCAAAGGAGCAGGGGTTAGTCTCATGTGCAAGAGTTACCCAGGATTCCCGAAATAACAAAGCAAAAGCCAAGAAGCTGGAATATTCTAGCTCACCGTCGCTGTAAGTCCACGATTGACCCGGTGAGCGAGAGATAGAGACACCCAGCCTGGGAGCTGAACCCAGGGGTCAAATTGCCGTAAATCGTTGTTATCGACGAGACCACTTTGGACTTGCCGTGAGAGGGAAACACTCAGCCAAGGCCGTAATTATAATATATGTAATATATATTGGGGGGGGGGGGACACATCCCCCCCCCCATATTCAAATATGCTCAAAATGTCCCGCCCAATATAGTGCTATAAAATAGATTTCTGTTTTTATGATTGTGGTGATGGTTATACTTTATTAATCCATAATCTCTGCCATTACATACAATGAAATGTTAGTGATTTTTTTTATTTTAGGCAGGAAATTCGTTTTCAAATTTTGATTTTTTTTTCTGGGGGGGGGACCCCCAGACCCCCTGGAAGATTTGGTCCCCCCCCAATGTTGACTCTATGGCTACGGCCTTGCACTCAGCCCCCAGTGCTTGAATGTGAAAATGCACGATGGCGGTGACTCTGGCTCCGCGTTTGTGACATCGGGTCATTGTGAAGCACATTGGGAGATTGAAAGGGACGATCAGACCCGAAGCTTCAAACCGTAAACCCAAGATGACCTCGGATCTGGCTTGGTGTCCCACACGTGGCTACCATGGCTCCCACTGGGAGTGAGAGCCAGACCCAGGGGCTTACACGTTAAGTTCAGGTTCTCAGCGGTGCTGGCTCGGTGGCCCTGGCAGGCACGCACGCGCGGCGGGGTGGCTCACGCTGGTTAGGGGCTTGGCCTCCTCAATCCTATTCACTTGCACCGAGCATTCACACCGACGCAGCCAGACAGGCGAGAGGGCGGACAGTGGGCGAGGAGAGCACGAGATTCACAACCCAGAGCAGAGGGCACGTGGCAGGGGTGACGCATTGGGAGAAACTTTGCAATTCAATGTCTGAGCCGATGTCCAATACGAGAGGAGGCAAGGTCACGACGAGCAGATCACGTGGTAGACTTTTTGTCTTTAATATTTCGCACAACAGGCACCAAAGGGCAAAAAAAAACGTCAAGCGGGCGAGCAACAAACAGCGCCGCCAAAGGTGTGAACTGCAGTGCCTTCAATTGAGCAGGTTTATTATTGTAAGAGCTTTGGGGCAGAGAGACGCTGGAAGCAGAGAAGCTGTTATATGACCTGCAGCGTGGCGAGTGTGTGAGTGGGTGTCTTGTTGTGATCTGTCGTGTTGCGAGTGAGTGGCTGTGTGAATGAGCGGGTGGGTGAGTGTGGAGGAGCGGTAGTGTTTTCACTTTGGGCGCTGCGCTACGAACCCGGTGAGACCCGAGATCGATTCCCGCACACGGCCACCAACACCGGTGACGATTATCTGAACCGATCCTGGTCGGGTCGGCCTCAATTGAGTGACT